TACACGCTTTCTTTAAAAGCAGTCTAGCAGCCAAGTTTCCAGATATGTTTATCGAAAGCTATAATAACCCCAACAAAATTTAAAATAAATAAATATATATATACACACACACTTATAGGGTAACTTACTTAAAGTGTGTTTATATTAGTTTTTGAGATAAATATAGCAAGTTAAAGACTTGGTATAGTGGCAGCTGAGGAAGACTTTATATAGCAGGTCCTCAATTTGAATCCGGAAGAGTACAAAAGAAGGGTTGAATTTTTTTTTTCACTAGTCATGCGAAATTACCAAATTGCCATTGGTTTCATCAGATTTTTTTTAAACTCTTTCTTTCTTCTTTCTCGATGGATCTGGACTAGAGAAAGAGCCTTGAGAGCACCGACATTTTGCTCTGCCTCTCAACTGAAGCTACCTTCTTCCTCGTCCACTGAAGCCAGCAATGTTGTTCGTGTAGCCGCCGTCGATGCTCTACTTATCCACTCGCCTCAGCTATGATTTTTCGGGTTACTATTGTTCATCCGTCTCTGCTGCTGATTCAAGAATGAAAAGTCTTTCTTTCTCTTAGCTTCTGGTTCACGTGATTATAAAAGATCTGGGTGAGCAAAAATCTCTTCCTTTTGGGTTCGTTTTCTATTTATTACTGAGTTTATTCTTCTTCATTCATGGCGGCAGTTTTTCTTCACTGTTCATTATTGTCCTCCTTCCTCTGTCCGTGTGTGTTGATTCATTTGAGGTTAGAAGCTTCAATCTCTTCCTTTTTCCTCATAAATATGGGCGTGTGAGTAGTTGGGGGGTATTACAAAAACTAGGAATATGTGTGTGTGCTCTATATTGCTGCCATGACCGAAGAAGAAGAAAAAAAAAATCTGGACTAAAATCAAAAGAGACAAGCTTGGATATATTGTTGATACTTATGAGATGTCATTGAAGGGTTTGTATGAGAAATAAAAATTTAACTTTTAAATATTGATGGGAATTATTGGTTTAGGAATTCTCTTGTAGCTTTGTAAAGGAATTTAATTATGGGCTTGCACACAATCATGTGTATATTTAGAGTTTGTTTGATTTTTGGTGAATGGTTAAAGGCTTAAAAATTAAAGAGATAGAAGTAATGCACCTAAGGTAAGTGATGCAAAGATTGAGAGAAAACTCCTATTCCGAGGAAATAGTATGGCATGGTTAAAGTTTTATGAAGAAAGTAAGAGAAATGAATGATAATGCTTGAATTAACTTTAAATCATAAATTTGGGTTTTGAGATTTTAGTGGTGGTTAGTGAAGGTTGTGTTATAAATTAAAAAGTTATTAAAATCATATATATTTATGTTTTATAGGGTGTGTGGAAGAACAAGACCCTGAAAAGACTTAAAAGAAGAATACTTTCGGGAATTTAGAACTTCAACAGGTAAGTGAATAACATTCCTTATGAGTATTCATTGAAATTCTTTTATTAAAATATTTTATTTTTATGAATTATGTTAGTTTTAGAAATTTTGAAATAATGATAAAGAATAGTTATATTATGATTCGTGTTTTTCTCAAGAAATATATTTTTATATTGATAAAGGCACCTTTGCCTATTGAATTTCAAAAATCTCTTGATTACATGATTAGCGCAAGTTGTACATTTGTTATGGTGTATTGATTTGACAAGTTTCATATATTTGAAGTAATTCATGCGAGTTTAATCTTGAGAATAAAAATTTGACTTGACAAATAATTATTTCTCTCGCATGTTTGAAATAGAATTTCTAAGAGAACTCTATACAAAACACTGCTACTAACGGCAGTTTCGTTAGTCCATAACGTGCTGTGGTTAAACACTAGCTAGTTTGTTTCGTGACTTTTATTCTCACATTTGGTATTCGTGGGCTTCGTACCCGCATTTGATTCTGTGGCTTGAGCTGCGTTTGGTTATTTACCCTCGTAGACTGTGTGTCCACGTTTGTTTCGTAGCTTCGGCTGCGTTTGGTTACTTACCCTCGTGGACTGATGTGTCCACGTTTGTTTTTATGGCATAAGCCGCGTTTAGTTATTTACCCTCGTGAATTGTGTGTTCACGTTTGTAACCTGTTTTGTTGAGTTCTCAAATTTTTAAATGTTGATTATTATACATTTTCAAATTTTACTTGATTTTCACTAGTAATTTGTATTACTTTGAGTCATATGAGAGTAGATCATTTTCTTTAAGCATGATAACATAAATTATTTTCAATTTATTCCAAATATGATTATAACTTACATGCTTATAAATTTTGGTGGAATTACTTTCAATTTTCTTGACAACATTATTAAAGATCGTCAATTTAAATTTTAAAAGATTTTATCATGGGAATGCTATTCACTGGAAAAAATTATTTGGCCTCAGATTGGTTAGCTGACGCCGATTTCGCCAATGACCTCAAAAAGGGCAACTAGTTAAAGTGGGTGGATCTTTTTTGATTGGTACTGCCACTTTAATGTAAATATATAATTGTATGTCTTTTTGAATTGAAAGAAAGAGTAGATGCTCCACATAGGTTGTTGATGAATCTTATTTTTGCCTGTATATTGGTTGCTGGCTGGGAGGAGCTACGCTCCTGATTTATATTGTTATTTGAAAAAAAAAAATTTGTTATAGAATTTTTGAGAGATTCTAATTACAGGGGAGGTTCTGTCAAAATTTCTACAAATACGTCAACACTTTCTTATGATAATGAATTTAAAAAAGTTATTTTAATTCCCATGTGATTTGATTGAATTCTATTCTTTTAAAAAAAATGAAATGAAATAAATATTCACTTGGAGGCTTACGAGAATGTGAGAATGATTCACACCCATACCGTTCACCCTCTATTTTTGAGCGTGACAAAAACTTCATTCAATGTCTTGCACAAATTAAACAAATAATGTGAAAACAAACCATATCAGTCCCAAGACTTTTTGGGTTCTTAGAGGCTCATTTTTTTAGCAGTGAGATCTTTTTGATGGATGAAGACATGTCAATTTGTCTTAAGAAAAAATAAGGGAAAAAAGTGGAGGAAATTATATTTTACCCTGCTTGGCTAAGGAAAGAAAAATATGAGAGAGAGAGGGGGGTGGAATTGAGAGGGAGATAACATGTGAAGCCCGCATGTTTTTTTCTTCAACTTTTTTCTCTGAAAATGGAAAAATTTTGGAGAGAAAACTCTACTTTTAAATCCCTCCCCTTACCTTCCTCCATTTTCATCCTTATGTTTGGTTATAGTTTAAAATTTTTAGATTATTGTATATTTAATAATTTTATGAATAAAATTTAAATTATATGAAATAATTTGTAATTATATTTTCATTACGTTAGCCTTTGTGCAAAATTTTTTTATTCCATTAATAATGTGTAATGAAAATTATATAAATAATATGTTAAAATTTTAAGTTTTATTATATCTAAATACAAAGAATAAGGTGATTATTATTTAAATAAAATTTACAACTTTTCCTCTCTTCTTTGTTTTGGTTAGCCAAGCATAAGGAGAGCAAATCACATGTCTCTACTTTTTCTCTTCTCTCTATTTTTACTCCTCTCATTTTCTTTCCTCCTCACTTTCTCTCGTCAGTACTGCGTGAGTTATTCGCTGCTATATGTATTCATAATCAAACAGATGCTCTAGATTGCATGAAATAAAATGTATCATGATTTTCATAATTCAAATGCATTGATATCGATAATATTTGAATCGATACATCTATCACTTTCAATGCTTGATGTGATTTTAAAAATGTTGATTAAAATATTTCAAAACGTTGTTTGATATTTACTTCCTACATAAATTATATTTATGTCCTATTTATGATATGATAATGATATGATAATGACATGATAATGATACATATAACGCGTGGATTGTGGAATGGGCGCATGAAGTTTCTTTGCTAGTACAATAATACAAACAATATTGAAATTGAATGGTGATAGCCGTGCGGTCCAGGGACTTATTTTTCCTTACGATATGCGGCATATATAGTTGGATTAAAATACGAATCTGCCCTGGATGTTTTCAAAAAGGTGTAATTAGTATCCTAATGTTTTTAAGTGCACAATATTATCCTGACATTTTTCAAAATCACACAAATTTGTCCTAATGTGACAGTTTGATCACTTTGACCATTAACTTATAATATTGACTATTAAATGCCTAGTTGACAGGTCATGTGAATCTCCATGTGAGAAAGTGGGACCCATTTTTAACAATTTTTATTAAATCCTTTTTTCCCATTTCTAGGCTCATTTATTCATTACTAGTGCTCCATATGCTCCACAGCTCTAGCATATCTCAATTGCCTTAGTCAAATTGTTAGGGATAAATTATGTATGATAACTTCATGAAAAGTATTCTCATATGTGTGCTAAGAAGTAATTTTTTAGTTATCATACTTGTCCTTTTCTTCACAAAAGCGAATGATCGAATAGCATAGAGCTATATATTATCCAATTAATTTTGATTTGTAGCAACAATTTCTTGAACCCTCTATGAATTACATAAAAAATTTCCCCCTCTTAGTCTTTAGTTTTGGACTCTATTTTCTTTGCATCAAAACACTATATTAATTCTTTCCAATCTCTTCTCCACCCTTCCTGAGGATTATAGTATTTGCATATTTTTTGTATATAAAGTAAAAGGCTGAATATAAATTGGGTTCTAGGCACCCTGATTCCTGTTATCCTCCAAAGTACAAAATATAGTGATAAGTATCCAAGTTTAGTTGACTCTGTCAAAGAAAATATAATTTTGCATCATGTTCATGAATATTGATTTTTTCTACCAGAACTTAGCTGATCACATCCAATTTGTTTGATAGGCTTATACACAGTCACACAAATCCATATGCTTCCCTATACCATCCTCAAGTTCCTGAATTAGATTTGCATCAAATTTAATGGCACAAATTAAAAATTATAGAAGACATATAATAATACTATGACAGTAATGATATTATAAACTGAGTAGTCAAAATGTATGGTTTTGTCATTGTAATCAAATGCCCGTGATAACCATGCATCAATCCTTTTAACTCGCTCTAAACTTAACAGAAGAAATCAAACAATGACTCAATTGTGTTATATCAAATTAACTGGAGTGGAAGATAGTTTCCTATTATGGTGATCCAAAAGTATCAAGATCATCAAACATAACAATGAGAAAACATAGCAAATAGACTAAGAGAGACAAAATGTCTAACATATAAGAACCAAACTTACTTATCCCTCCCTCCCATAAATTTTCTGAAATTCAACAAACAAACTCTATTCTCATTTGCTAGTGTTCCCACTATCTTTATCCTCTTTTGTCACTTTCAAAGCTTTCGCCTTCTTCACCTTGATCCCATAACTTCCAGAAAATGGAATGATCATCCTGAAAATGAAGTTTGTAATGCGAGGGAAGAAACAAGGATGGGCTCCTAGAGGGTATATAAGAGGAATATACAGACCCAAAAACATCAAAAGGAAGATGATTCCAATAATCATCACAATGTTAGCGAGCCAAGTCAAATTGTTGACTACTAGATTTACTGCAGCCATGAATGCAATAGACATTGACACTATGGCCAAACCCACCAAATTTAACGCAAAGTATGTGGCACTAAATGCCATATGAAAGTCACCAAGTTGAGCCCATAGTAGAATGAAAGATCCCATTGTAGAGCTATACATAGCTATCACATCACAGATTGTGAACACTTGGAACATTTTTCTCTTAACCAGGGTGGCCATGCCGCTTCTCTTTGTGTCTATGTCATTGGAGTCATAGACACCACCTGGCACTGTAAAACCAGCAGCAAATGTTACAGCGGCAACCAATATCGCTACAAGTAAGAGACTGCTGACACGGTCTTTAATCCACTTAATATGAGGTTGTTCTGCATGCAAACGCCTGATTCTTCTTCCCTTTTCACTCAAAGGCACCCCAACAGATCTCAACATAGCAAATGATAAGTACTGGGAAAAATAGGATATGCATGGTTATGTGAATGACACATGTTAGGGACAGAATAATTTTGGAAAAATTATACGCTAGGGGTCTCTAATGTGCATTTTTTTAATGTTATCTGTAATGCATCACCTTCCTATCTTTTTTTTTCATTTTTTCTTTGAATTATTGGCTTTTATATAAAAGAAGAGACTGAAATTTTAAACCGGTAGAGTTTTGTGTTTTATACAATTTTTTCAAAGATAAAAGTATGAAATTTTGATATTTTTATTTGATATATTTGATATTGTTATGTAAAGCTAATGATCCAAAGGAAAATGCAAAGCAAAGTTGGAGGTGGGGCACAATAAATGGTAATAGAAAAGGGCATATTAAAGACTCCTAATCGATAAACTATAACTGTCTATCAATTATGTGCTGTGGTGAATTAGATCATACCTCTCGAAATGTTGGGGCTGTATTTCTTCTTTGAATAACAATATCACGGGCTGTCAAACCTTCATTATTGACAAGGTTGACATTTAGTTTTTTCTCTTGTGTCAGAAGGAGCAATACCTTTAGGTGTAAGTATTTGGAAGCCAAATGCAAAGGAGTATTTCCATTTTTGTCTTTCTCATTCAAGAGATTCTCAAGTTTCTTCTCTCCCAATATGTACTTGACCACTGCATCTTTTCCCCTCTTTGCTGCAATGTGAAGAATATTCTGACCTTTTTGGTTTTGTAAATCCATGGGATCAAACCATGTTCGTTGAATGAAATACTGGACGACGTTAAAATGGCCTTCTTTGCAAGCAACATGAATAGGAAGATAGCCTTTTTTATCCAATTCTACCCTGCTTTGGGGACTTGCATTTACAATTGTTTGTACGCCTTCAAGATAACCAATGGATGCTGCACAATGAAGAGGCGTCCTGTCCTTTTGGTCTCTCAAGTATATTAGCTCAGGTCTCACTTTCACTAATTCCTTCAGCGAAACTGATGATACTAAAAGACACACATGAAGTATAATTAGAAAATAGAGAACACTGTTAGGTGTTTTTATAGATATATATATATATATATATAAATTCATTTAAAACAGATATCTCAACTTAAGATATCATTTAAGATAATAAAATATCTTGTGGCCTAAAATTAATTGATTGTATTTTACTCAGTCTAAACTAAATAATAGATAATCTTGTTGGGGGGTTATAGAGGCTAGGAGACTAAGCGTACGATTAATTTGAGAAACATAATCCTTCCCTTTTGTGAGGGTTTCCTAACTAGTGATGTCTTTTTCTAGTTGTCATTAATGTGCTCTCACGCTAGTGAGAAGAATTACTCTCATGTCTATTTTCTTGTGACTCTTTCTTGTGCTTTTCAAGTCACATATTGATTTTGAGACTAGAGCTATTCTGCTTCAAACCATCTAGCAATAGTGAGAGGTATTTTAAGTCTTTCACTATAACTCAAGATTTGTAGGAATTCTATATAAATGATTTAATTTAATAGAGTTTCTCTTCGCTGAAAAGTATATATAGGTCAAATTATCACCTTCTAAAATCATTTTTGTCTTGACTTAGAAGTTTTGGAATTGTAAATCATACTCAAAGAACTTTCTTCCTTATCTCCTTTTCTATTACTCTTCAAATAACCATTGGCTCCAAGCTTCTAACGGTCTTAATTAAGGTTTAAACTTGTTGAATACAAATGGCTCATTTGAAGGAAGTGGCTACGAGATATTAAAGGTTTACAAACTTTGTGACATTGGAAAGCTTCGAAGGGGCCAACTTTCTGAGATGGCCAGAGAAAGTGAAAATTTTCCTTTGAAGGTACTCTGTGTTCTCAAGCCCGAAGAAAAAGAAGAAACTATAGCCGAAATTACAGAGAGACAAAAGAGAGAGAATGATACCTCTATTACCTGACACATCTTTCAACTTAGCGATGCTCTCTCTGGATGCTCTACTAAGTTGGCCCTTGAAGAGCCAAGCTTATATTGGCTGAGGCCAAAAAGTTATTTTATACAAATTATTTAGACTTTGTGAATTAAGCTTGGGTGATTAGTTCGCATATATGTTTTAAATTTTTTAAATAAAAATATAATATATACAATTGATAATTCAAATTCAAATTTAGACAATCCAAATGATAATTCAACCACACTAGTTATAATATAAACCATAAGAGATTGAGACTCGACATAAGAAATAGAGGAAAGATCATACAGAGCTCCAAAGGGAAGGGACAGAATGAGAGAGAACAGAGGATAGCCACAGAGAAAGAATGCGACATCACTAGTGGAGGAACAAAGGATAGCTAGAGGAAGGTCACAACCAAACGGAGAGAATAGGCTCTCGTTGGTTTGATGGGAGGGTAGGAGAAAGAAGGGGTTTTAATTGAGGGGCGATGAGGGAAGGGGAGGAGTTGTAATGAAAGGGAGGTGAGGATTTTAATATTATCTTATTTGATTTAGGAGAGGAGAGGAGGAAAAATAATTATACATAAATAATTTTACCCTTATATTATTAAAATTATTTTTTCTAATACAATATAATTATGAATGTTTTTAATACGTAATTATAAGTATATAAAATAATTATCATTATTAAATATATTACTAAAAACTTTTCTTGCTAAACTTAATTAAAAAGATAAGAGTCGTAATTAAAAAAAGGGGCATATTGATCACTGTGCAACAAAATTATACCCCTCCTCTCTTAATCCCTCCAATTTGGAGGGGACGGGAGAGAAGATTTTTAAAATTTTTCCTTCCCCTCCAATTTTTCAAACCAAACAAAGGGAGGAAAGTAGATTTTGCTCCCTTCCAACCAAACAAACTCTAAAAACTAGAACCCATGTTTGGTAGAAAGAAAGGAATATTCTAAAAAATTCATTTCTAAAGAATGGTTTGGAGTAATAAAATTTTATTAAAAAAATTATGTAAATTAAAAGAGTAAAAAAAATAATTAAAATCTTTTAACCCCATCTCTCGGTTTCTTTTAAAATTGAACCCATTAGAATTTCCTTCCCCTTCATTCCCCCAACAAAAATAAATTTAAATATGAAAGGACAAAATGAAGCTTGAGGGGTAGCTTGGGTGTTTTACAGTACCTACGGACAAAGAGAAATAAGTTTTACATGTGTTTGTTGGGATATCAAATGTGAGTTGACTTGACTTGGTATGAAAAAATTGTTTCATATTGAATAGAGTTAGGTCGGAGCAGAAGTATCTAAGTGGAAATTATAAATTCAAAGATTTTTTTGCTAAGATATAATGTTATACTCACTTATATACTTCATCTTACAAGCCTTGGGCATCTTGGCTACATTCTCCTCCCTTCCAAGATGATCTCTAGGTCCACCAGCTTCTGCTTGTTCTGTTTCTCGGAATAGTGTTGGATGAAGTGGAGGCGACACATGATCAGAGAGCCAACTCTCCATCACGTATAGATAACCGTATCTTGTCTCTTCTACTGCAGCAATCCTTCATCCTGCTGCAATTGTTTTTGTTAAATTCCGGCTGGGAAAGAAAACTCTGCTAGATAATAAAATAAAGTATATGATAAAATTCACCTAAAGTTAGGGAACTGGAAAAAATTCATCTCAACTTTTTTTTTTTACCAAAAAAATAGAATGAAAAAAAAGTGGGGGGAAGAATTGGATAATTTGCGGAGCTTGGACTTGAGGCTTCTAATGGTAGCTCTGGTAATATCCCACCGTTCTAATTATTCTTGCATTTCTCTTTTAAGTAATAATAACTTTTAAATAAAAGAAGTATTATGATATCTTACTGTTATAAGATACACATAAACTTAAAAGAACTATTTTAATTATCTTTTTAAGTGGCAAAAAGATGGGAAGAATGACGGTAAGATCTCAAAATATTAAATTAATGACAGTTAAATTTTAATAAAAAAATTTTAAAAATGAGTTGCAAATATCACTTCAAATAATTAAAAACTAAAATCTCAGATAAAATTTAAGAATCACATTTGAAATTTATTGAAAATTTTGAATTTTGCATATATTTGGATCAATATTCCAACTCATTTTTCAAAAAAATTTGTCTATTATCTAACTGGCATTAATATATAGTTTTAGAACCTAACTCACATCCTTTCAAAAAGACAATGCTCATCTCTCACATTCTTTCCATTCATCTTATGATACCAAAAGTGGTCTAAGTTGAGGAAAATTTGGGAATGGTCCCCGTTAAGTGTAGTTTAGAGAGATTAATTTACACCTTTATTAGGGATTGCGGCTCGACCTGATGCTGATGATGGTTGAGAAAAATGTTTTATCCTTGGTCCTGCACAACGGTTCCTGTAAAATTCATGGGCAAGAAAAAAGAGAGAAAAGGAAGCAACAAAAAGGAGATAAAATTCATGGCCCTGCACAATTCTAATTTGTTTTTCATTTGAGACGGATATGCCATCCCAAACACTACTTGTCATAGAAGGGTGTCCGTCACAAAATATGAGACACAATATACTATTTCAAATTCCATTGCAAAGTTTTGGCATGGAATTTGGTCTTTCAAATTTTGTCACAAATATTTGAGACAGATTTTGCAATAGATTTGTAACGAATTAAAAAGTGTCACAAAGGCATCACAGATGTTCCAAATATTTAATAATCTACTAATACAGTTATAAGTTGTTATTTGCATCATACATAAGTACCTGAATTCTCGGCCAGAATAGCAGCATGAAGTGGAGAGGATCCTTGGTGCTTCTCCCTAATCAGGAATGGAGCTTGCAGCAAAAGTTGAGCAATTCCATTATTTCGATTCTGAATAGCTAAATACAAAGGCGATTTACTTTCCTTGTTCAGAAAATGTGCCCCATCTTTATCTTCTTCAAACAAGAGCCCTGCCACTTCAACACTACTATTTGCCATCACTGCCTCATGCAGTGCCGTGTTCCCATGCTCATTCCTCATCCTCCACAATGCTTCTTCATTATTCTTGTTGTTCAATTTGTTCTCAAAATGCTTCTTGTAACTGTTGAGAATCATACTGAGTGAGGATTTTTCCCCATTTCTGGCAACAACATGAAGAACTGTATCTCCTTTGTTGTTTCTCATTGTGATCAGTTGAGGGACGACGTGCGTAGCAAGTAGCTCTAAAATCTCTACTTTCCTATGGTTGGCTGCAATGTGAAGTACAGTATTTCCTGCACTGCTAACTTGTCCAACAATGGAAGATATATACTTCTTATCTGTCACAGCAGTTTCTTCTAACGCTTTAATGAAATCAAATATGGACCCAAAGTGGATTGCCTCACACAAAGCAGGTGTCAAGACTTTTGACTTTTGAATTTCCTCCGACAACTTTATAGAATCGTTAGGAAGCCCTGGAACAAAAGCAATTAATGATCCTTAAATTCTTGCAAAGCAACTTATATTTATTTATTACTTGTATGAAAAACAAGCTAAGCTAAGATGAGTAGTAATTAATTCTACAAACACAAGGGTCATGCATATTAGAAAGTGTTGATGTAGTAATGATTTAAAAATCCGAGGAATTATATAATTATAAATAATGATTTAAAAAACATAGCAAACTATCTATAGAACCCAAAATTGGATCTTTAGAGAAACGCTCGACAATCCATCAAAAATCAAACCAATGGTGATAATAAGAACTCGACTAAAATTTATTAATCACACAACTTAGCCCCTTGCTTGTTACAATGAATTTTTTACCTCTCAACAATTTATTCAAAAGTGTAACATTTGAAAATAATACATTTGGCATTTTGTTATTAAGAAAGTTAACTTTAATTATTAGTTGACTTAAAAATTACAAAATAAGACCTCAAAAATTATCAAAAAAAGACCTAGAAAGTTACACATAAGTACCCTACAAAAAAATTAATATCAATTAAATCCCCCTAAATTACATATAAGTATTAGGATATCAATTTTAAAGGAAAACTTATAAATTATTACATTATTTTAGGGACTTAACCAATATTAATTTTTTATAGAGTATTTATTTGTACTTTTATGATTTTTTAGGCCTTCTTTGTAATTTGTTAGTCAGTCAATGATCAAAGTTAATTTTTTTAATGACAAAATGCCAAGTGCACCATTTTCAAATGTTAAAAGGGAAAATTACACCATATGTAAATTTAAGATATCAAACACTCATGAGTGAATAGTTGAGGGATAAAATTATCTTTTAATCTTAAAAACAATCATATTTGAGACACGAAAATAAGAGGAAAGGAAAGAAATATATTTAATTTAAGGAGTAAAACAATGATGTGTAATATTGGGATAATTTTCCATGAAAAACTTTATTCTTTTTCAAAACATTTTATATTTTGAAACACCAAATCACGCTTAAAAATATCTTATAAAATGGAATAAAGGGAGTTCTTAATAAAGATTAAGAAATGTCGTTACTTCTTCCGAATCACAATATAAGTCATTATTAACTAACTCATGCTCCTAAAAAAAGGTTACTTAATATCTTGATTTCCTAAAAATGTTTACATATTTTCATTTATGCCCTTAAGTGGAATATTTAAAATATCCTCATTAATTGCATTAATTTAATTATAGCAAGGATATAAATATCAAGAAAAATATAAAATTTATCTAACACCTTATATTTTGGATCAAAGTTTGCTTCTAGAAAATGAGTGGTGGGAAAAAGTATTTTGGTTAAAAGAAAAAAGTTTGTCAATAATTAATATCATCTTGCCAAAAATACCCTGAATCATTTCTCTCTCTTTCGAGCACCTCCATAAAAAGGGTCAATATTGTAAGAAAAAATAAATACAGTAAACAATCGGGTAAAAAAGGGTAATTATCAAGAGATAACAATTCCAAGTTTTTAAAACAAAAAGGCTACTTTAATTAAGAACAGAGAAAGTAATACAATTACTATCATTTGCATCCTTAAGTACCTGAATTCTCTGCTGGAGCAGGAAGTTGGAAGGATCCTTGGCGGTTCTCCTTATTCAGGAATGGAGCTTGCAGCAGAAGTCTAGCAACTTCATCATTTCGATTCTGATTGATAGCCAAATACAAAGGCGATTTACCTTCTTTGTTCTGAAAATAAGCCACATTTTTGTCTTCTTCAAACAAGAGCCCTACCATCGCTTCAACAGTACTACTATTTGCCATGACTGCCTCATGCAGTGCCGTGTTCCCATCTTCATTCCTCATCCTCCACAGTGCTTCCTCATTCTCTTTCTTCAATTTGTTCTCAAAATGCTTCTTGTAACAGTTGACAAGAATACTGATTGAGAAAATGTACCCATTTCTAGCAACAATATGAAGAGCTGTATCTCCTTTGTTGTTTCTCATTGTCATCAGTTGAGGGACGTGCGTAGCAAGTAGCTCTAAAATCTCTTCTTTCCCATGATTGGCTGCCATGTGAAGTACAGTATTTCCTTCACTGCTAACCTGTCCAAATACAATGGAAGATACACGCTTTTTATTGGTCGCAGCTGATTCTTTTAACGTTTTAACGAAATCAAACTTGGACCCAGAACGGATTGCCTCACACAATTCAGCTGCCAAAGCTTTTGATGCCTGAATTTCCTCCTGCATCTGTATGGAATCTTCAGCACGGCCTGTGAGATTTCTCTGATTTAAAACAGCAGATTTCATCATGTCCTCCATCATTTGATTGCACAGAGTGTCAATATCCATTACGAGCAATACTACTGTGGATGGTTCTTCTATCAGATGGAGCAACAATATAATCGAGGTTAATTCCTAAATATGATAAATAATGTGTATTCGAAGAGATATCAATCGTGGTTTCGTCCTACTTCAATAATAAAAAGGTGAAGCCACAGAGTGAAGCACCTTCCAAGAAGAAACCAGAGTAAACATGGATAGATAAACAAATAGTTTTAATATTTAGAGCTCGCAGAGCTTGACTTCCAAAGTTGTAGTATATAATTAAACCATCCAGAAAATACCTACTACACACACACACACACACACACACACACCTCGATTGAGAGAGAGACGGACAACGACATCGAGGGTGGATGGGAAGGAAGTAAACCATGAAATTTCGCGTCTAATTAATTAAAAAGCTTGTTGGCATCAACCTACTCGGCATGCCACTTGTTGAAGCACGCGGAGACAGAGTGTGCATTGATTTTTCCTGGAACAATTTCATTTTAGTGGCAGAGATGTGATTTTATTCCAAATCAATCCCAAACAATGCTGAGCTGACACTGTAGGATCAAATGATCAAATGCAAATTATGTTTTGGAGAGAAATGACTAAAATGCCATCCATGTTAAATATTATATTATGTTAATGTTCATAAACTCACAAAACTTTTAGCCTTTTATATCCCACATTCTATAACATCTCTAATGGTTTTAGAAATTTTTCTTATGTTTAATACCTATAAACTCAAGGGTTAAATGTTATATATTTATGTGAATTAATCATATAATTTATATCTATTGTAACTCTCTCCTTTCTCTCCAATTCTCTCTTGTATTGTTCATTTCCCTCATATTAAATCTCTCTAATATTTTGAGTTTCATAACATGTTTTCAGGATGACATTCTATATGAAATTAGTTCATGACATAAGTTTGAATAATATCTTATCAATGCTTGTTGATTCTCATTTGTAGCATAGAGATGGTTTGTTCAAATCGAATGGTACAATTTTGCAAATTTATTTGGAAGGAAGGATGACCTTGCAATTTCAAAGAGGGTATCGATTTTGCTTAGCGATGGCTAATTGGAGATTTTATTTCAAATCCATCCCAAACAATTTTGAAATACATTGTAGGACCAAAAAATTAAATTGAAATTATATTTTGCAGAGAAATAACTAAAATATCATCCAAATAATTTTTCATAACTTAACTTATTATTTTAGTAATATTACTTGTTTGGGACTTCAGTTGTTAAAAAAAATTAATTAGAGGGCTTTTGTTATCTCCCCAAAACATCATTTGATTTTGTTAATGCTTTGGTCCTGCAATGTAATTTTATAATTGTTTGGCACTGACTTAAAATAAAGTCACATCTCTTTTTTGTATAAAGTTCTCTCATTAGGAGAAAATTTATGGTTCTTTCTTATCGGACGCGTGCAAATTTACAATTTGGTTTCACAATTGGTGTATGTAAATTTGGTTTCACATTGAAAATCATAAAAACCTTACAAGAATCGCGTCTCTGTCATCTTTGGACAAATGAAATTGCTTAGACAAATATCAGAGGAAAGCAACTTGCTCACGAATCAAAATGCATTCATTGGCGTGATGTAGCTTGTGCTAGTCCTGTAATTAATGACTTTGTAGATTGACAATCTTAATAAGTTTAGTAATTTTAGAACATTAATCTATGTAATTTCTAGAGTAAAACCGTCTTTGAATTTATTGCTTCCCTTCTGAGAAGATCTACATCATGGTCATACTCAGATTTAAGACAACAAGGAATACAAAATAACTCAGGGCGAAGAATAGAGAATAATCACAAAATCATAATATCAAATAACAATGGCTAGAGGATTAGAAAACAGAGCATGCATAAATATTTGATGGAGAAGTAAAACCAGAAGAGAAACACATAAATACTCTGTCCAGACAGGGGAAGGGAATGAAATATATCAGAGGGAAAGAGGCTCATCAAAGTCATTGATACCTGATTCATTCAACCCTCTCCTCCTATATAGCATTGGGTTCACATTTAGCATTCTCTCCCCTTTCTGTTATTTCTAACAGCATCATATAGAGCGGCAAAAGCACTATCACTGTTCTTCAATGATCCCAATATACGTGTCCTTTATGGACCCCACAAATATTTGGATGACTCGTGACATTACTCTCCCCATAGAGATTGACCTCGTCCTCAATGTCAAAGTAAAAATAAATGCAATGAAGGATATCATTCGGTATATAAAAAGTCTCTAACTTTCTGCTGTACACTAATAATCGTTGCTGCACCAAGTAATTCTTGGATCAGTGCATATTCTAAGAGCCAAGGATTCCACATTCTAGAAAGCTTGCACCTGCTATGCGGTTCATAAAAATGAAAAATCAAGAGAGGTAGTAGTCTAATCTTCATGCTCCACAATGAACCAGCATGTGAGTATATGACAGGTAGAAAAATAGACCCAATATCTTCAAGGTAAAATCCAACTAGTGGCAATAAAAATAGGCACACAACTAAATTAAGTCCATCTTGCATGCCTCGTTCTTTGGGAAACAATTCTATATTGATATCAAGCACAAGAGTTGTAGTCCAAACTAGTCATTTGGCGATGTCAACCCACATGTGCAAACTATGAAAGTCACTATTGTCTATGGAATTCCACAAATCGTGAATAAAAGATGATGGCCACTGTAATCCTTGCAATGGCTCCTCTATTTGCCTAGTCCATGCAAGCTCTCTTTCCTAGTTGATTTGAGCTAGTCCATTAGCTTTAACAATAGCGTCTGTAACATTAAAATAGGTAAGACCACAGCATGGTGAGGTACCATTCTTGTCTCGTAATAACACAGAACTAAAAGGAAACCCATATGGATCAAATTGTGCTTCAAGCTAAACAGAATATTTGGAAGGTAAAAATGCACAATCACAGCTTCATATATTAGCAACCATGAGAAGAACAAGAGTGGTATGCCACAATCAAACTCCTGAACACAAAAAGGTAAGAAAGTAGGAGGAATAATACAAGACAGTGGAGGCATCTTCAAAATACGAACCAAAAAGTGAATGGGCTCTTTACCTGTTAATATGATTGGAGTAGGAGCACATGGTAGATTACAACTCAAGCCCCCATAATGGTCATAAGTACCAATGTCATTCAAGCACCAAGCTTGCTCTGCTTCTCCAAAACCAATGTCATGATGGCAATGATTTAAGGTCAATATGTTTCTTAAATTGCTATGCTTCTTGTGAGAAGCATCAAGAATAAACATATTCACGTAGGGATTATCAACAATAGTTATCGAATGCACAACATGCAAGAGATATGAATATCTAGCTTGAATAGATGAAATGAGAACCAAGTGCTGAAGAAGTTCAAGTATCAAGCAAACACAAAAATAACATAGAATCATGGCGTAAGAACTAAGATCCAATACCCATCGAACCATTGCCCCATCAATTACACATTGCCACTAAGGTACCAATTCAATATTTTCCAAGAGAGCAAACCCACAACTTATAGTCTGGTCATATCCTATAAACTCATGCAACACATATGGTGATTCAACTACTATTTAGGATCATATATCAAGAAGATATTCAAGCCATGAAAGATCCATGGTTGAAAATCTATCAAACAAATACCCATAATTAGTTGGCGGAGCACAATGGTTACCAATTTGTGCTTAACATGAGCATCTAACGCATAAGATTTATTGCAGAAACCTATGAATGGAACCAAACCATAACAATTGCAGGAGAAATGGTTATGGTGGGCCCAAGATCAACGATTAAATAATGATTCTAGCTAAAAAGAAATTTTTACTGAACAAGATATCCTCTAAAATTAAGTCTATAATACTTGAATTCATTATACCAAAACCCAAACCCAAATGTTTGTAAATTGTATCGCACACAAATAAGAAGAGAAATGAAGATACCTAGATCAAATATCAAGTCATTGATAACCCTACGATAGAGTACTGAACCATGATGAATAGTTTGGATTGAAATAATGGAGACCAAGGATTATATTGCATATCTGTCAGTATCTAGCAAATGAAGAATTTGGAAAACCAAGCTGCTGTAGTAAGAGGTGGGATAAAAGTATCAAGCACCAAAATTGTACCCCTAGCCATGGCCATTATATGCCTTAGAATTAAGGATGCAGAATACCTCCATAGGGTAAAGGACGGTAGGTCATATAAGTCTTAACTAGGCTAGAATAACTGGGGCCTAACAATAAGGGTGTACTATGGGTAACAAAAAGAACCAATCAAACTTGTAGGCTAAATGAATTGAGATAGGTTGAGGAAATGCAGGCTTGAACTTATTAGTGGCACCATGGAACAAGGAAATGGAAACCTCATGTTAGAGCAGGCCATCCACATTAATTAGAGGCGACAACAAACTTACTTCAGAGCTCATAAAGGTAGAGTCAACAGAATGCACAATGGTATGGTTATTGATTCCTCATCAACAATCTATTTACATGATGTCAAAATGGCAGAGTTCTCAAGGATATGATCTCCAATCTCATCACTCTATTCTAGAACGGATTCAATGGTCGTTGTTAATAGGACCTTTATAGTCTCAATTTCCCCAATAAGAATAATGAGTGGCATCTTCTTGAGAAGACCCAAACTAAACCTAAAAGATCCATCAAAGCAACAAGTATAGCTTCAATTCAATCAAAGTGAGAATAATCCTTCATTGCAACAAGGGCAGCATCAATTCAATGAGAAGAATCATCACTATGTTCATGTTCAATCTCTCAACAAATTTTTCATGGTCATACTCAGATTTAGGAGAAGAAAGAATGCAAAATAACTTAGAGCATGAGGAATAGAGAATAATCATAAGATCATAATATCAAATAACAACGGCTATAACATTAGAAAACAAAGCATGCATAAATATTCAAGGGAAAAGTAGAACCAAAAGAGAAATACAGAGATACTCTATCTAGATAAGGGAAAGGAAATAAATACATCAGAGGGAAAAAGACTCATCAAAATCATCAACACCTTATGTAACATCCTGAAGTTTCAATCCAAAAAAACTAATTACTAATTAAAGGGTAAATTAGTAAATTAGTGGATTAGTTAGATAATCAGAATTTTGGATGGCAGGTTGAGGTTTTGACTTTTTTAGATGTTGAATGGATAGGATTGGGTGGAAAAATAGTATTCTAAAGTGAAGCGTGTGAGCACGGTGAAATTTTCCACGTTATGCCATACGTCGTAGCATATGCTGCATGCACTGTGATGCGTGGCCTAAAAATTTGACTATAAGTTTTATGGATTAGACGTGAAGAGAAAGGAGAAAAGAAGAAAAGGAGCACAAGTGAGAGGAAAAGAAGGTGTGCTCTACTAGGGCAAAGCTTTATGACCATTTAGGAGATATTTTTAACATGTCGCTTGCCGAATAAGTTTCGTACCACCCTAAGCTCCAATTCTACACTAATTTTTCTTAGTTTAATTTATAATGAAAAGGCTCTTTAGAGTGAAATTAAAATTTTGTGACTAGTTTGAAAGTTAATATCTAAACATTGAAGTTATAGGTTTAATTTAGTTGAAATTAATAATTGAAAATGGGTAGAAGTTTGATTAGAAGTATATCAAGGCTACTGTAAGTGCCAAGAGGATTTAAAAGGATGAAATGGATCTAGGAAGAATAGATGGAAGCATTTAGATGTTTAATTATCATAATTAGTACTCTTAGTGAATTTGATAATTGACTTAGGGTGCTAATTTGTGTAGATTGTCATAAATATTATGTTGACTATGTAAAAGGTATCCAAGTAAGGACAATTGTACCACAAGTAACCTTTCTTAAGAACAAAAGGTTGAGACAACTAAATAATTGGTTATGTTTCTTAGCTAATATCATTGTATATGAGTGAATATGAAAAATATGATCTTTGCGATTCTGATTTAATGTGTTTTGAAATGTGCATGTCTTTAACCTTCAACATGCTTTAACAGTGTTGATTTGGTTTTTGATAGTTTTAAAAGAAAATTGTATAGATATATTTACACTTATAAGTATACTTATAAGTATGGAAATAAGTAATAGTGATTATATGCATGTGACAATAGCATGATCCTGACAGTGGGTGGAAGTTCACCCTCTATGTGTGTGTGATGGAGATGTGTGTATAAAGAAATTCATATAGTTAGGCTGGCACCATGGGATATCCAGTGTAGCATTTTATTTGAGACTATTACATAAAATATTTAGGCAGTCTAACAACTCCCTAGTACTCAAGATGATGTAATTAAGAGTCAACAACACCCCTATTATGTGTGTGTGTGTAAAAGAGGAAAAACCATAGTCCCTAAGTAGGGTAGGCTACCTTTGGCTCGGTGTGTTTACCATTAAAGGTAAACTCAGATCAATATGTGACTGGCCTAATAGAGTCTATGATTTCAGTCAGGGTGCTTGAGAGGACTAGTGGATAAAGGATCATGTTAGTATGTGTGGTTTTTATGAAAAGGGGCTATAAATGCATATTTTATATATATAATTAGTATTTAAGAATGTTACAATGGTTTTATTTACTTGTATGTGGTTATTTCTATTAGTAGACATTTATTGAACTATTTTAATTATTAAGATTGTGATCTCACCCATAGTTATTGATAATTTTACAAGGTCTAACACTGAAAGCTCGAGAGGGAAAGATTCGGGCCGAGATTAGAGGATATCTCTTTAGCCCACTTGGAGTTGGTGTAATGAATTTGCTTGAGTAAATATAATGTTATATATAAGTTGTCATAAGATAACATATGCATTAGAAAATGATATTGCACTTATGAGTGTAAATGTGTAACTTGACCCTATAGTGTTTACATTAGTGATATGTGTGATTTTGAGTTATCCATATTCCAAGTACAATGCAAGTGCATGCGCATGTATTATGTTATAGTAAAAGTATGCAAAGTTTGGCCAGATGTAGAAATGTGTATGAAAGTGATTTTTGCCCATGTGTATGTGAATTGGCAATTTAGTAGCCAAACTTGTGTGTATGCATGATATTAATTATATAACTGGTGAGTCAGGTGTTAAATGTCTTATTGGATATGATCAAGGTCCTAGAAATGGCCATTGACACTTGGTTTGGAATTGAGAAGCTTGGGTGAGTGAAAATGACTTAAAATGATCATTTTGCATTTGGTGCCAAATTTTCTAACAAAATATAGGATTTAAATGAAATTAGTGTCATTACTTAGATTTTAAGATAAGCTTTGTGTGGGCACTTAAACTATCTCAATCGGACATTGGATGTGAAAACAACGCATGTCAAAAATTCACATCAGCGACTTATCATGACAGAAAAAATTATGTCATGTGCGTCACGACGCGTGACACAAAACTAGAACTAATAGCTCTGTATCACTTGCCGCAGTGCATATGCCACATGTCATGGCATATAGTTTAGTTTTGCTTAAAACTGTCACTTTACCTCCATTTTTCCTTGGTGCTTTGTATATTTGGTTTTTATGCTTCCATTGTGTATCAATAAAACTTTTAACCTTTTGAAAATATATTATTTGGGTGAATAAATGTGTTAGTCTGTAATGTCAGAAGGACATTATACCCTACTCATTCTATCCACTCCTCATGTATAGCATTGGGTTCACATTTAGCATTCTCTGCCCTTTCTATTATTTCTAGTTATAGAGCGACAAAGGCACTATCACTCTTCTTGAATGATCCTGATACACTTGTCCTTTATGGACCCCACAAATATTTTGAGGACTCATGACAATCTATTAATTATAGAGAGGGCAATTATTCAGATTTAGAGTTACTATTGTGTTTTGGAAGACACATAACATAATTATCCTTGACGACAGTAACAATAAACATTGGACTCTAGTTTGTTATCTCTACTGCTTTGTTTATAGTTGGAGAGAAAATATAAGAAGAGAGATAATATTTTTGTTTTCTCTATTTTATCTTCTTTCTATTTTCTTTCTTTCAATTTTTTTATCCAAACAGGGGTACATGTTTTGTTACTTTGGTACTATCAAATTTGCAATTGGTAAATTTTAAGTTCCTACTTCTTGCCATCAGAAAAATCGTACCACACAAAAAGGGAAATTTCAAGGGCTTAGTTATAAAAATCATGATTTTTTATAGCATTCCAAAATCTAACCCCACAAAGATGTAGCTTTAAGCCAATTAATCATTTAACCAAAACCCAAAAAAAAAGAAGAAATAGTCTACGTCTCAACTACAATTTTGAAGAGGATGCAACAGCAACTTATATCATATATTTATAAATATATTTGGAGAGAGAATGGCCCAAGAAAAAAAAATTCACTCATATAATCTCTCTTTTTCTCTGCCCTACTCGCAAGTCCCAATTAATATGCTGTCCTTTTTTCACAAAAGCAAATAATTGAAAAGCATAGAGCCATATATTATCATCAACTTAATTGATTTTTAGAAACAATGTGCTTGAATCCTTTATGAATTACATCAAAATTAAGTTTTGGACTATATTTTCTTTGCATTAGGACAATATACTAATTCTTTCCAATCTCTTTCCCACACTTCTTGAGGATTACAGTATTTGCATATTTTTTGTGCATAAAGTAAAGGACTAAATAGAAATTGGTTCCTAGATGCTCAGGTTTTGCATATGTTATCCTACAAAGTACAAAATATAGTGATAAGTGTCTAAGTTCAATCTATCAAAGAAAATATAATTTTGCATTAGTTCATGAATATTTTTTTTCGACAAAAATTTAGTTGATCATATTCATTTACTTTGGTAGACGTAGACCTATACACAACCACACAAATCCATAAGCTTTCCTATACTATCCTCAAGTTCATCCATTATTAGATTTGCATCAAATTTAAGGCAATTGTAAATTTAAAGTTATAAAAGAATAATATAAACTGAGTAGTTAAAATGTATGGTTTAATCTTTAATTCACTCTAAACTTAATAAAAGAAATCAAACAATGACTCAAAAGTGTTGTATCAAATTAACTAGAGTGGAAGATAGTTTCTTATAATGGTAATCCAAAAGTATTAAGACCATCAAATATAATAACAGCAATAGTAGCAAAAAAAAGGCTTATCCCATAAAGTGAGGTTAGCTATATATATAGATTGTACGACATCATTGTGTTCTATCATTTGTTAAGATCATCAAATGTAACAATGAAGGGAAAAAAGAGAGCAGCTAGACTAAGACAAAATGTCTAACATATAAGAAACAAACTTACTTAGCCCTCCCTCCCATGAATATGCTAATATTCCATAAACCTCATTTGCTAGTATTCCCACTATCTTTATCTTCTTTTATTACTCTCAAAGCTTTCACCTTCTTCACCTTGATCCCATAACTTCTAGAAAATGGAATGATCATCTTGAAAATGAAGTAAGTAATGCGAGGGAACAAACAAGGATGGGCTCCTAGAGGGTATATCAAAATAACGTATACACCCAGAAACATCAAAAGGAAGATGATTCCTATAATAATCACAATATAAGCAAGCCAAGTCAAATTACTCATTACTAGATTTAGGGCTGCCATGAACGCAATAGACATTGTCACTATAACCAAAGCCACCAAATTTAATGCAAAGTATGTGGCACTAAATGCCACATGAAAGTCGCCAATTTGAGCCCATAATAGAATGAAAGACCCCATTGTAGAGCTATACATAGCTATCGCATCACAGATTGTGAATACTTGGAACATTTTTCTATTAGCCAGAGTGGCCATGCCTCTTCTCTTTATGTTTGTGTCATCAAAGCTATTGATACCCCCTGGTAGTGTAAAACCAGCAGCAAAGGTTACAGTGGCAACCAATATCGCTACAAGTAAGATAGTGCTAACACGGTCTTTATTCCACTTAATTTGAGGTTGTTCTGATTGTAAATGCCTAATTCTTCTTCCTTTTTCACTCAAGGGCACCCCAATAGATCTCAACATAGCAAATGATAGGTACTGTAAAAGATAAGATATGCATGGTTATGTGACTGACACATGTTGTGGACAAAATGATTTAGGACAAACTACAAGGCAGTAAAATATAACATGCCTCTGAATGGGTTAGGACTTCTAAAGTGCTTTTTCTCTAAAGTTTTGTATAATACCTTGCGCCTTCCCAATTTAGTATTTCATTTTTCTTTAGTTCATTGGCTTCTACATAAAATAATAAATATTTTGATATCTTGAATTCCTAAAATGGTAAAGTTGTGTATTTGAAGCATCAAAATGTTGGAATTTTATAATTTTTTTTGTCAAAATATGAACTTTACCATTTTAGAATTTCAAGTTATCAAAATATCTCTTATTTTATATTAAAGTTAATGATAAAAAGAAAAAAAGAAAAACAAAGTTTTGAAGGTGAGATCATATTACCAAAGATATTAGAAAAAAGATATATTAGAAGGCCCTGCTCTCTCAAGAGATGAATTATGTCATACCTCTCTAACTGTTGGTGGTGTATTTCTTCTTTGGATAACAATATCACGAGCTGTCAGCCCTTCATTATTGGCAAGGTTGACATTCAAATTTTTCTCATGTGTCAAAAGGAGCAATACCTTCAGGTGTAAGTATTTGGCAGCCAAATGTAAAGGGGTATTTCCATTTTTGTCTTTCTCATTTAAGAGATTCTCAACTTTTTTCTCTCTCAATATGTAATTGACCACTGTATCTTTTCCACCTTTTGCTGCAATGTGAAGAATATTCTGACCTTTTTGGTTTTGTGATTCCATGGGATCAAAACATGTTCGTTGAATGAATTCCTGGACCACGTTAACATGACCATTTTTGCAAGCAACATGAATAGGAAGGTAGCCTTTTGTATCACAGACACACTCTAGCATGCTTTGGGGACTTGCGTTTACAATGGTTCGTACACCTTCAAGATAACCAATGGATGCTGAATAGTGTAGGGGCGTCCTGCCTTTTTGGTCTCTCAAGTACATTAGCTCAGGTCTCACTCTCACTAATTCCTTCAGCGAAACTGATGATACTAAAAGACGCACATGAATTATAATTAGAAAATAAAGACTATTGTTGGAAAGTATGTATATATATATATATATATATAGATCAAATTATCGCGTTCTAAAATTTTGTCCTGAGTTTTGAAATTGTAAACCATCATGCTCAGAGAACTTTCTTCTCATCCCTTTTCTACTACTCTTCAAATAACTATTGGCTCCAATACTCTTCAAGTTTAAACATGATGTATACAAATGGCTTATTTGAAGGAGTTGGTTACAAGACTTTGGAACGGTTTATACAAACTTTGTGACAATTAATATTGGAAATGTTGACAGACCCAACTTTCTGATATAGTCAAAGAAAATGAAATTTCTCTTCACCACTTTGAAGGCACTTTGTGCTCTCAGTTCTCACCATACCTAAGCCCAAGAACGAGAAGAAACTATAGCTGAACTTATAGAAAGGCAAATTTGGACTTAGTAATGCTCTAATAAGTTGGCCCTCATAATAGTTGAGGCCAAAAGTCCTTTTATACAAATTAATTAAGGATGTATTTGGATTTCAATTGAAAACAATCAATTAATATGATTAATTTTAATTATAATTAATTATATTATATGATATAATTGATTTATAAAATTGATTAATACCATTGATTTTAAGTAAAATTGAAAAACAAAATTGAAAAATTAAGTAAAACCATGATTTTGCATAAACATATCTAAGCATTTTATAATATGTCAAAATCAGTTATAAACTCGACAACAATATGTTTTTAAAAATATCCAAATACACTTATTGTATGTTAAAATTAATTATGAACCAAAAGCCATGGTTTTTTTTTGAAAAAAAATTATCTAAACACTCTCCAATGTATGTCAACATTAATTACAAACTTAAAATCATGATTATCTTATAAGCTTTATCTACTTTTCAATTATACTTCCACAAAAATTTGTCCAAAAATAATAAAAACTTTATTTTATAATTCATGATTTTGTGTTTATAATTAAATTTAACATATATATTGGGTGTTTGAATATTTTTAAGAAAACTATGATTTTAAATTTATAATTAATTTTGATATATAATAGAGTTATGAAATCACAGTTTTCACCATTTGGATTAATTATCTATTTTATCCAAACATGCACTTACACGTTGTATCCTCTTGTTCTTGTTTATGGTCTTGTGCTGAACTAGCAGGCGTGGTCCCAACAATGAGCCAACTCTCCATCATGGACAAATAACCATATCCTGTCTCTTCTGCTGCAGCAATCCTTCGTCCTGCAGTAATTGTTTATGTAAAATTCTCGGGAAAGAAAATTAAACTTGATAGTAAAATGAAATAGAAGAGGTAAAATATTAGAATTTTTTACACTATAAAGAAGAGAAAATCACTCCAAGGTCCCTCATAGGGATTCTAATTATCAAAAGGTTCCATGAAATGTATAAAGTATCTCTAAGTCCCAAATCTATTATTTTAAGTATATTTTCCATTAAATTACTAAAATACTCTTACATTACCTTAAAAAAAAACCATCAATTGTCAAAGCTCCAGTGACCAACAATGGAATAATTTTGGGAAGGGTGATCTTGGAGATCACATGGTTTCCAAAAGATATATGCACCACTTGGCAATTGAACCCTTTTGATATATATTCAAAAAAATTGTGTATACATATAGAACTTGGGAAGGAAGGTTATGAAATAGAATATAGCAGTCAATAATGTATAACGTACTTATTATTCACTTTAGGTGACTTGTTAATATAGAGAATATGTTCATTTAGTAATCATTGATGTATAAGGTACTTATTATTCACGTTGGGTGACTTCTTAGTAAAGAATATACCCATTCAGTAGTCAATAATATGTGAAGTATTTATTAGGTGACTATGCCCACTTAGTAGTCACTAATATATAAAGTACTTGCTATTTACACTGGGTTTTTTCATTGTTAATGAAGAATATGGTTATTTACAAGTGACCAAGTGTGAATAACAAATACTTTTAGGCTTATATTTCAGTGACTACTAAATGAGTCTATTATCAATTAACAAATGACCCATAATAAATAATAAGTACCTTATACTTTAGTGACTACTAAATGAGTACATTCTCCATTTACAAGTGACTTGGCATGAATAACAATTGCCTTATATGCTTATACTTAGTTACTACTAAATGAGTATATTCTCTGTTATTTAAAAGTGATCAAAGTAAATAACAAGTACCTTTTACTTCAGTAACTGCTAAAAAAGTATATTCTCCATTTACAAGTGACAAATTGTGAAAACAAGTATCTTATATACCAGAGAGTATTGAATGAGCATGTTTTCTATTAACAAGTAAGCAAGCATGAATAACAAGTGAAAAATAGTGAAATAGAGATTAACATAGAAATAGTTATTTTTAATAGTTTTTCCTAACATTTAATAAGGGCAAAAAAATAAAGATGAACATAGAAAATAGTGAAGTTTTTTTATAAATAAGGCCAAAATTATTCTTGTCACTATACCCTATAATTAAATAAGATCAAAGGAGTAATCCTTTCATCCTAAATTATAAGACACTTTTGGACAAAATTTCACATATCAAGAAATTTCAATAAATACACTTAACAATCTTGTTCTTTTCAAAATAAAAATATAAATTTTTAAAAATACCTTTCATTTAATATATTAAAAAGCAAGAGAGATGAGAATTAAATAGAGAGAGACAGAGAGGGTAATATTTGAATATTTATATTAATAAAATATTAATCTTCTCAAAGTATCTTATATAATTTGGGATGTCGAATCTTTCTCAAAAATGGTTATAATTTGGAAACGGATGGAATATATTTTACCAAATTTGTTCTTCATTAAGGTGGAGTAGATCTGGATCTCATTAATGTGCTAACCATACTTTAATTGCCTTTAAGTGTAAAATAGGAAAAGTATCATTAATGATTTACAAATACAAGTATACTCCCTCTAGTCCCTGTTATGTTTATAAAGTATCTCTAATTATTTTATTGTAATCAAGGAGAGGTAGCTAAATCCTTAACTTTATTTACAAATAGAATAAATTTTTAATTTTACCCCTATTTAAAAGGAAATCTTTCAAATTGGAGTAATATTGGGGGAAAAAAACATAATGAATACACCATTATCAAGTGTCTGATATTAAATATCAAAAACCCTACTAAAAGGTGTGTCTTATACTCCTCTGGTCCTATTTATAAGTTACTTCCAACATATTTAACTAATACTAAAAAAATTTTAAAATTCATTAACTCTGTCTTAAAATTTAATAAGTTCTCGACTTTGCCTTTATTAAATATATATATATATATATATATTTCAATAACATATTTTCTCTTTCCAACATTCAACAAAGAGCCAAAAAGAAAATTTATGGTGAAAATATAATGACGTGATTTATAAATAAGATCAAAAAAATTCTTCTCTCTCTGCCTCATAAATAGGACTAAAGGGAGTAATAAACTCAAAAGAGAGTATGAGGATAATATACCAATAGAATTATAAGTAGTTGTTACTTGCATCATACATAATATTCATATACATATAATACAAGTACCTGAATTCTCTGCCAGAATAGCAGCAACAAGTGGAGACGATCCTTGGTGGTTCTCCCTATCCTGGAATGGAGCTTGCAGCAAAAGTCGAGTTACTCCATTATTTCGATTGTGAATAGCCAAATACAAAGGCGATTTACCTTCCTTGTTCAGAAAATGTGCCCCATCTTTATCTTTTTCATACAAGAGTTTTGCCGCTTCAACACTATTTGCCATCACTGCCTCGTGCAGTGCCGTGTTCCCATGTTCATTCCTCATCCTCCACAGTGCTTCTTCATTATTCTCTTTGTTCATTTTGTTCTCAAAATGGTTCTTATAACTTTTGATAATAATACGGATTGAGGATTGGTCCCCATTTCTAGCACCAACATGAAGAGCTGTATCTCCTTTGTTATTTCTCATTGTGATCAGTTGAGGGACGAGAGTAGCAAGTAGCTCTAAAATCTCTACTTTCCTATACTTGGCTGCAATGTGAAGTGCAGTGTTTCCTGCACAGCTAACAATGCAAGATACATTCTTTTCGTCTGTCACACGTACATTAGCTGTCTCTTCTAATGCTAAAATGAAATCAATTACGGACCCAAAAAGGATTAGATGCCAAAAATTTTGATGTTTGAATTCCCTCCGACCACAAAGCAGAATCCTTTGGAAACCCTAGAACAAAACAATTAATGATTGCCAAATTCTTGTGAAAGTAACTTTTTTACATTTATCACTCGTATAAAAACAAGAGGGACCAGTAATAATTAATTCTATAAAGACAACGTTAATTATCTTTATTAGAAAGTGTTGATGTAGTAATTAATCCTTTTCACAACACTTTATTGAAATCGATCATATAATTATAAGCTATTATTCAAAAATTATATTGAACCATCCACTTCAACTAGTCAAATCAAAAGCCGATTTTTGGTTGGGTATAGAATAACTCCCAAAGTTAGATCCTCAGAGAAACGTTCAATAATTGATCAAAATCAAGCCAATAATCATGATAACAAGTAAGGACCACACTAAAATGTATTTAACACAACTCAACCCCTTGCTTTTTTGTTGTTGTGCACATTGTTCCTCTTATTAAAAACATTCATATTTGAGGCTGCACAATCGCCTAAGCACTAAATGTAGGCATGCATTTTCTTTTAATAAAAATTCAAATTTTAGTTTGTGATATCATGTGAAGAGCTAATCCTTTCAACTAAATTGAATCCCATTGATTGCTTGTTGTTGCTTCATGTGTGACTTCACTTAATTTTTTAAAAATTTAATAAATTTTTAATTTTATCCTTATTAAATATACATAATTTAATTACATATTTTCTCTCATCATCAACATTTATGCTCTACTTGTATGGATAGAAAAGATGGGGAAAAAACATAAAAGGAAAATAAGTCTTCTCCCATTTGGTTGAAAAAGAAAAAAAGAGAAGTGAGAGAAAAAATGAGATGTGGAGTCCACCACATTTTCTCTATTTAATTAGTAAAATTTTAAATAGAATTAATAAATTTTAAAATATTTTTTTAATTTCAATTAAAATATTAAAAGTTAAAAATAACTTATAAACAAGATGAATGAGAATATTAAGGATAGGAGAGAGCATCATTTCGTCAGAAATGCCCCTAATCCTTTCTCCTAATTAATTAATGAGGGAGCACCTCCATTAATTAATAGGGACAATTTTGTCAAAAAAATAAATACAGTAAACAAAAAGACTCCTTTAATTAAGGGCAAATTAAAAAGGGTGTTATTATTGCATCATCAAGTACCTGAATTCTCTGCATGAAGCGGGCAGGATCCTCGGTGCCTTTCCCCGTTCGGAAATGGAGCTTGCAGCAGAAGTCGAGCAACTTTGTAATTTCGATTCTGAATAGCCAAACACAAAGGCGATTTACCTTCCTTGTTCTCCAGGTGGGCCCCACCTTCATCTTCTTCAAACAAGATCTCTGCCACTTCAACAGGACCACCATATGCCATCACTACTGCCTCATGCAGTGGCGTGTTTCCATGTTCATTCCTCATCCTCCAAAGTGCTTCCTCATTATTCTCTTTCTTCAAATATTTGTTCTCAAAATGCCTCTTATAACAACTGAGAATAATATGGATTGAGGATTCGTCCCAATTTCTAGCAGCAATATGAAGAACTGTGTCTCCTGTGTTGTTTCTCCTTGTGATAAGTTGAGGGACATGAGTAGCAAGTAGCTGTAAAATCTCTACTTTCCCATAGTACGCTGCCATGTGAAGTACAGTATTCCCTGCATTGCTAACTTGTCCAACAATGGAAGATACATGCTTTTTATCCGTCACAGCTGTTTCTTTCAACGCTTCAACGAAATCAAGCACCGACCCAGAACGGATTGCCTTACACAATTCAGCTGCCAGAACTTTTGACGTTTGAATTTCCTCCTGCATCTGCATAGAATCCTCAGGACGGCCTGTGAGATTTCTCTCTAAAGGAGATTTCATCAAGTCCTCCATCATTTGACTGCACCGAGTATCAATATCCATTATCAGATGCTTCTTCTATCAGATGGAGCAACAATAATCCAGGTTCCTAAATATTATCAGAAAGGCATGTCTGATCTTTGAAGGGATATCAACTTAAATAATAAAAGCGCAGCATCGCTTCTGCACAGAGCGAAGCACTTTCCAAGAAGAAACCTAAAAAAAATGCTTGACTTTCAAATAAATATCAAATCATCCAGAAACTACCTACTACTATACATTATAAACCATGAAATTTCGCGTCCAATTCATTTCATAGCTTGTTGGCTCAAACCTACACGGCCGCCACACCAATCTGGTTGCTCCGACTTTTGAAGAACGCGGAGATGCTGTGGGCGCATTAATTTGAACAGTGTGAATAATGTCAAAAACACTGATAAGACAAAATTGATAACGTTCATTTTCAAACATGTAAACATGAATAACTTCGATGACTTTTACTTGAAACATGTAATTTGTAAATGGCTTCCTATTACATTTCTTTTTTTTTTTTTTTTGGCCTACGAACAATAAGGAATTTAAGAAGACAGACTCAAAAATTGATTTTTTTTTTTTTTTGTCTTCAAATTTCTGCAACCTTTCGCATGAGCATTTTTCTCAACAAGAAAATTTCCTTTCGCGTGTAGCTTCCTTTTGCTGGTCTACTGTGGGCTGGAAGTCGAACTTTTAGTGTTAGAATTGATCATTTTTAAAATGGGCTTCATAATTTTTAAATTTGATTTACTGAAATAATCATATTTAAAAAAAAAAAAAACAGTATCAGCCTGAAATATGGGCTCCTACGGCAAGTAGCTTCTCACAGTTCTGATATACAGGGTATACCATTACGATTGTTCTTCTCCTAATCAGATGGAGGAACAACAATGAAGGTTCCTTAGTATTATCAGATGATACGCTATATTAGAAGGCATATGTCTGATGTTTGAATTTTTCATCTTTAATAATAATAATAATAATCACACCAACAACTTCTGGTTGACAATGAAGCTCAGCTTCTTGGCGATGTAGAGCGAAGCACTTTCCAAGAAGAAACCAAAGTATAGAGGGTGCCCAAGAGTTTCACTCGCAGGGTCTGTTGTCTGAAATATTTGGACGCCCCTTCTCTTACCGCTTTCCTCGTTTTCGCAGGGACCAATTATGTTAATTTTCAAAATAAAATTACTCTAACTCTTAAAATGTAATAATTTTATTAACGTCTCTAAAAAAAATTTTTTATCAATAGTTTAAAATTAAAAATATTATTTTATTCTTATTAATAAATTATAATTTCTTATTTATTTTTTATTATTTTTTGAATAAAAATTATTATTTGTTAAATAAAAGTTATAATTGAAGTTTGTTATTTTAAAAACATATTTTTTAATAATATAAATTACATTTGATAAGTTTTAATTTTTTTTATTTAACTTTATAATTTACAGAATAAATATTAATTCTTAAATAAAAATTGTGAATGAAACTCGTTATTTTTAATAAAAATAAAATAATTTTTTAAAAAATTTATTGACATACAAATCTTAAGAATTTTAATAGAATTATAGCATTTTAAGAAACTATATTGTCATTTATATAATTCAAAAAATTTTATTATCATTTTTCTTAATTTATATTCTGATTTAAATACTTTGAAATTACCAAAATACCATGTACATTTCATTGTCATTAGCTGCTTTTTATTTCACTACATCTGGATATTTTTGTCTTTCCAGAAGATAAAACCCTCACTTCCCCCTTTTTATTTTTCCCATCTGCAATTACAACAACGAAGAGAGAGAAGATTTGTGGAAGCTTCATATTCGTGCTAAATCTTCTCCCTTTGCTCATCATTGCTGTTCTTCTCTACCATCACTGACATCCATGTGTGTGTGGTCGCCTGGTACTACTAGCAAAAAAAGCAATTTAGTGAGGATTAAATCCCTTCCATCGCTAAATATCGAGACACTAAATTTAGCGATAGAAGGTCATTCCCTCCCTAATTAAATAGGGATTTGGATCCCTCACTATTCTGTTGACTTTTTTTTTGGGGGGGGGGGGGGAACTGAGGACTACCATTCAACAGCAAAAATGAAGCAGAGCAGTACCAAAAGTTCCAAAGACAAGCCACCAGCTAGAAAACAGGGCTGTGTCGAGCAACACTCTGATCAATGGAGCTCTTAACATCTTCCGCTAGAATGATAGACAAAGAAGGTGATGGTTTGGACACCCATCCAAGCAGGCTCACCTCTTTACATTACCTTTGCGTGGAACAAAGGAAGGAGAAAACCCAGCCATTAGAGCTGCAATATCGTCTGAAAAACCATTACTCATCCACACTCCCAGATTAGGTTGGCCTTTCCGGATGCAGCTAACAAGAGTAAGACAATTACTCTCAAATATAATTTTCTCATTGCTCATATCTTGAGCTAGCATGAGTGCTCTTCTCAGTGCAAGAGCTCATGAAAGCAGAGATTGACTTGACTTCTTGCTATTCTATTGACTATTGCTTATCATCTTTTTGCTAATTTACATTCCCTCACAACCTTTACTAATATCGACCAAGAAATCCTACCGGGCCCTTGCATCACGTCACTTGTTGCCTCATCAGCATGTCACATGTTGGGTAGTCACCATGTCACCACTTATGTGGGCCCTCTATGCTACATCATTGCTATCTTACTTGTCGCCTATATAGCACATATACTTCAAAAAAGTAAACGTACCCGTATCCGATATGCTACTTATACAATACTTTTACATATATATCTCATATTCTAACATTTGTGATATGATTTTTTTTTAAATAATTTTTTACTATATCGCTTAAAAACTTTAAAAAAAACACTTAATATTTTAATTAATTATTATAAATATTCTTATATTACTTTAAAAAATTTTGTTTAAAAATCAAAATACCTACACTTATATCATAAAATGTTGAAATATACATTATAAATATCCCTGTATCCGTATCCTAAAATTTTAAAAATTTTTCGTATCCTCGTATCATGCCGTATCGTATCGGATACTCGTACCCATATCTATGCAACCTAGCTTGTCGCCCCACCATGTCACCACCTACTTGGATTCATCAAAATAATTGGAGCACAGATAAGATTAGGGATTCATTAAAACAATTTCATGGTTGTTATAGATTTTAAATTTTATTTTAATAATTTACATATAATTGTTAAAATAAAAAAACATATTCTTATTTATTTTCAAACGAGTAATTAGAAATAATTCTTTGTAAAACATAAATTTGATATTAAAAACAAACTTCAAAAACACTATCAAATTAACTAGTGAAGTGGCAGATAGTTAATATTACATTGGCCTTCCAAAATTAGTTTTGACCAAACAAGAAGATAAAATAGCAAATAGACCTTGACATGATGTAAGGACCAAACTTGTTCAATCCTTCCCTCATTTTGGCTGTTAAGCTTTAATTGAGAAGCAGCTAATCTTGCTTGCAAGCATCTTTGTCCTTCTCTATTGGAGGTTCCTATTCATCTTTGTCCTTTTCTTTTTCTTCCAGTGATTTCATCTTCTTAATAACCTTATCATTCTCTGTTAACTTCCCATAACTTTCTGAAAACGAGATGATCACCTTAAAAATAATGTCAGAGATGTGATGAAAGAAAAGAGCTCGTTCTCCTAAAGGGAATATCAGAAGAATAAATACACCCAGAAACATCAGAAGGAAGATGATTCCAATAATCGCCACAGTGTCAGCCAACCAAGAAACGTCACTTACTACTAGATGTACTGCAGCCATAAATGCAACTGACATTGTAATTAAAGATAGAACCACCAGATATAAAGCAAAGTTTGCAACACTAAATCCAATATGGAAGTCGCCTAGCTGAGCTCCTAGGAGAATGAAAGACCCCATGGTAGAGCTATACATAGCTATCACATCACAAATTGTGAACAGCTGGAACATTTTTCTGTCAAGTAAAGTGGCCATGCCTATTTTGTTTGTGTCTTTATCATCAGAGCTATTTATACCACCAGGCACAGCAAAACCAGCAGCAAAGGTTACAGTGGCAACCAATATTGCTACTAGTAAGATAGCATTGACACGATCTTTAATCCATTTAATCTGAGGTGGTTCAGTGTGTGAACGCCTAATTCTTCTTACCTTTTCACTTAATGGTGCATCAATAGATTTCAAGATGGCGAATGATATAAACTGCAAATAATAGAGAGAGAGAAAGGGAGAAGACTGTCAACTCCATTTGGTTTTTTATCTCCATCAAAAAACTATTGTTTGGGTAATTTACTGTGATTAAAATAAGTGCAGAGATGAATCATATCATACCTCTCGAAAGGTTGGTGGTGTTTTTTGTCTGAGCAAAACAATATCACGGGCTGTCAATCCTTCATTATTTGCGAGGCTGATGTTCAGTCTCTTCACTTGTGTCAGCAAAAGCAATACCTTTGGGTGCAAGTATTTGGAAGCCAAATGTAATGGAGTATTCCCATTCTTATCTCTCTGGTTTAATAGGTTATCAAGCTTCCCTGTGCTCAATATATACTTTACCACAGTATCTTTTCCACTCTTTGCTGCTATATGAAGGATATTTTGACCTTTTTGATTAACCAAATCCATAGGATCAGACCATGGTCCTGGATGCTGAACAAATTCTTTGACCACATGAACATGCCCCTTTTTGCAAGCAATATGGATAGGAAGATGGCCTTTTAGGTCCCATTCTAATGAACTTAAAGGACATGCTTTTCTAATTATATGTACAACTTCATGATTTCCAATGGATGCGGCAAAATGTAGGGGTGTCCATCCCTTTTGGTCTTTCAAGTATATTATTTCTGGTATTTCTTTCTGTATTTTCCTCAGCATACCTGATGTGGGAAAATGCATGAAGTTAAAAACAAATAGAGGTACATTTGAAATGAGAGGAAAGAAAGGAAGGGAATATTTAGTTTAAATGCAACCAAGATAAATGTTTGAATCAAAATCTCTCTTTCACTTCCCTTTTTCTCTCTCTCTCTCTCTACCTCTCTCTTCAGTCAAGAGTTTTGTCTAGCAATTATTCATAGAACATCATCCCTTTGACAGGAGATGCAAGAAAGAAAGCAGAGTCATTAATCATACCACCACGAAATTTTTCACTTGTTGGTTCAAACATGCGTTCTGTTTCCTTGCTTTTGATGACCCCAGCCACGACCAAGGATTGAAATTTATGTTTGCTTATTTGACCTGCAGAAAATATAGTATAGAGACTGTATTTAGAGCAGAAAATTCAATTGAAAAAAATTCAATTGAAACGTGGACAACAATGTGGGTGAGCAACTATTTTTGCTATTCTCTATAATTATTATTCCAGTTTCAATTTTCATGTAAATCGTATTCCCTTACCTGAACTCACTGCCATTATAGCAGCATGAAGTGGGGAGTTTCCTCGGTGCCTCTCTCGATTATGTAATGGTGCTTTTAGCAAAAGACCAATAATTCGATTGTCTCCGATCTCAACAGCCAGGTACAATGGTGATTTACCTTCTTTATTCAAATGGTTTGCCACATCTTTATCTGCCTTAAACAAGAGATAAGCCGCGTCAAAATTACTCATCATCACAGCTTCATGCAGTGCTGTGTTTCCGTGGTCATTCCTAATTCTCCACAGACTTGTCTCTGTTTCACAATCAATTTGGCTTCCAGAAGAACGCCTTTGATCTGCATAACAGGGCTGAACTATATCGATTAAGTGAATGGACTGAGTTGATCTGGCTGCAACATGGAGAACCGTATCTCCTGTGATGTTTGTCCTTGTGATCAGTTGAGGGAAGTGCTTAGCCATTAAACGCAAAATCTCTGGGCTTCCATTTTGAGCTGCCACGTGAAGAACAGTATTTCCTCCACGCGTGACTGTCTCCACAATGTCTGATACACGAACTCCGTCCTCCAAACCTAGTTTCTCTAACACTGTAAGGAAATCAGACACGTCTCTTATTTGAATAGCCCAAATCAGTTCAGTTGCCATCAGCTTTGATGCTTCCAGTACTTCCTTCAATTTGTTGGATTTTTCCTTAGGTGCAGGCTGAGACAGACTCGTGAGTTCTCTCTCTCTAGATTTCAACACCTCTATTCTCTGATCCCATTGTGGTCTCAGAGAAGCGATGGTAGTAGAAGCATTTGTTGGAGGACGATCCATCAGACCCAACACTGTCAACTGTTGTTCAACCTTTTCTGTATCAAACGCAAGAACACCGATCAAAGTTTCAGATTTTACCAAATGTTACCCGCGTACAGAGCACTATGAAATTGTATATATCTTCTTTCCAAGCAGCCTAGCAGTGAAGTTTCCAGGCATGTTGGTAGGAGGAAAGATGAGAGTAGACTTCTCTGTTTCATTTTTCTTGACCTGTAAAGAGTAGGCTTAATAAATTTCTATGTAGTGGAAATTATGTGGGGCATTTTTGGAGGGTAAAGTAGCGAGTGGAGACAATGAAGAAGGAAGTGTTTTTCTTTTTCTTAAAAAAAAAAATATGTTACAAATGATATAATTACATATATGATTATACTTTTATTTTGTGGAAAAAATTCATTTTCAAGCACTTGTATAATTAGTAACATGTGCTTCATATATAATTTTGAAGGAAAAAATAACAGTTTAAAATTTCTGTTTGGTTTGTAATTATATAAATTCTAAAATATTTATATTTTACAATTAATTAATGGAGCATATGCATTTTTATAGTTATGGCAAGGTAACTGTTAAATCACTTATCTGGGTCGGGGTCAATAGATAAAAAGTTATATGCTAAACATTTTGAATTTTAGGTAAATGAAAAGTATATTTATGTTTGCATTAAATTGTAAATCCACTATTAAACTTTTTCATGAAGAGCAGTTGGTACTTGAAGTTTTAAAAAAACATAATGTCTTCCTTTTAGTTTTAAAATTCGTACAATGTCAGTCAATTTTAACATATTCAAATTTCTGACCAAGTCAATGTTATTATAATTATGTAGTATGCCACATGGCACCCACCTCACTAAAACAAAGTCCGTGTTTTCTTCCTTTCCCATGGCCCATGTTACCTTTTGGATTCGCTTTACTCAAAAGAAGAAAATGATAAAAGTGGCGCAGAGAGCCCAATGATTATCATTCCTTGTACAGAGAATGTACAAAAATTTTAATGAACGAGGGTCCACCACACATACAAAATAAGACAGAATAAGATTGAAACACCTCTATTTCATGTTCAGTTAAAAAAAAAAAAAGATTGGATTTGAATTTTTATCCTGTATTCTATCCTATCTTCTTAAAATTAAAGACAAAATCAATATAAGATCAAGACATTCTGTCATCTTGATAAATCAGACAATATTGGAGAAAGAACTCACTCTCATGGATACATAAAATCATTATATCTAAGATTAGATAATTCAAACAACTCTTATTAGTGTCATTTAAACTAATGGGCTCGAACCCAAGCCCTAAGGTCAAAAATCTTCATCTCTCAATCTCAAATCTTACTTTCAAAACATATAAAGAGAATAAGAGACAAAGAAGACATACTTAGATGAAATTAAGCTCTAATCACATCCAAAATACCCAAAAACTAATGCCTTAGCAGAGCAACTACTCTCTCTATCACCCTCCCTCTGGTTTAGACTCATTTTTCCCTATTTCAGACGTTTTCACATTTAAAAAAAATTAATTTAGAAAATTATGTTACAGTATAAATTTTTATGCTGCAGCATACTCCTCTGAACTTATTTATAAGTTACTTCTAACATGTTTAGCTAGTACCAAGGAAAAACTTAAAACTCATTAATTTTATCTTAAAATTTAATAAATTTTTAACTTTACTCCTATTAAATGAACACACTTGAATAATATATTTTTTTCTCTTCAACATTTAATGAAAGGTAAAAAATAAAATTTATGATAAAAATTTCATGACGTGATTTATAAATAGAACCAAAAAAAATTTCTTTTTCTACTCTATAAATAGGATAAGAGAGAGTAACACATAGTGGGCCAAAATCTAATTTTTCTCTACAGTCTGAGCCCAAGTGACCCAAGTCATTTTAAAACTTAATCCAAAAGCTAAAACCAAACCCAATATCTATCTATAACTATACTCAAACTCATTTATATTTAAATTTATATATTTATTTTTTATTAGCTTAATTAATCATGAGGATAATTTTCAAAATGTTACATCTTGTATTATCATTTTAATCAAATAAGTCAGAGCAAAATACTTCATGTAAAAATGCTACAGAATGATCACAACTATGTGTGGCTTGGTGCATGGTTAAAAGTTAAATTTCATGGTTTTTCGTTTATAAATATATCGTCCGTGGGTGGGTGCACACACACGTATATTGAGGATAAAGGTACAACATCTCATAATATAGTTTATTTAATCATTCTTAAAAAAATAATTAATCACTAAATTTACACTTTTATCTCATATATTTATCATTTGGTTAACATTAATTTTTTCCTCCGTAGGATCCAGTGTTTTGCTGAGAAGGTTAACATTGAAAAGCAAGCTAATTAGAAGTGTAGTTTCATTTTGTTACTTTTTAAATTAGTCATTTGGTTAATTTAAAAAGTTATTTTCATCCAAGTCACTTGTGCGTATGCGCCTGTGGGATTATTATCAAGGAAAAATGATGAACTATGGGAAATATTATAAGAATACTAATGATAATTACAAACTCTAAGTTATTGAAATTCTAATAATATACCATAATTTTTAATTATAATAAATTATCTTTTATTGATTGGTTTGAGACTCACAATGGACTTTAGCAAATTTTCAACTAATGCTAAAAAGATTTTCAACTATTTTTTATTGATTTTCAAGCAATAGCAAAACATCATGAGTGATTGGCTTTCTCTTCACAACTGACTTTCGTAAATTTTTAACTAACATTAAAAATAGTCCTAAGTGTATTTAATAAATTTTTCAAGATATTTATCTATATGCTGAAAGTAAAAGATCATAAATAATTGGCTACTAATTCATAACTGACTTTCGTAAATTCTCAACTAATATTACAAATAATTTTAAATATATTTACTTAATTTTTCAGGTGATTTATTTATATATTGACAACAAAAATCAAGATTCTCAACTAACTTTTTAAAATTTTTAATTGACGTTACAAATAATCTCAAATATAGTAAGTAAAATTTTCAACTGAGTATTCATATTTTCTAATTACAAGTAAGGACCAAAATTCTTCATTGGTATTTCAATAATTTAAGACCTATAATTATCATTAATATTCTTATGGGATCGCTAATTGTCATTTCTCCAAATATTAATTATATTTTGAGGACCATGGTTTTAGAACTTTCACAGTTTTTTTGATTTTGTTCCATTTTTTATTTTTAAAAATTATTTTGTAAACGAACTTTTTAAATATTGTTATTGCAAATAACACAAAAGAAAATTTTTATCATTTGAATTTGAAAACAATTTTAAAGTTTAAAACAATCGTTTAAAGGTGGTGATCAATTGTAATTAACAGTGATACCTTATGATAAAGGTATAATAAAATTGTTGACTAAGATGGCCAATGATGGCAGCCATTAATATTGGTCAATTGTAATGGTGATGACTACTAGTGATGGTTGGCAATGGTGGCAAGCGGTGAACTGGTAGTTACTTGACATTAACATATGGTTTCTAGTTAGCAATGGCTAGTAATAATAAAAATCAATGACAATGATTGATGGTGGAGACTAATAGGAATTGGAGATGACTGTGGATGGTGGTTATTGTTATTATTTGTTGCCTTATGGTCATTACTTGTTGTCAAGTTACCATTAACGCAGTTGTTATTTCAAGTTTAAAATAAAACTCCTGAATAAAAGAAGTGGTCAATGATAATGGTTGGCCCTTGTCAAATTGTGATAAGCTTGTCATTGCCATTCATAACGAAAACAAAAGACAAAAGATGGAGCCGACGGGTGTCAACTGTCAAGGATGCTGCAATGAGACAAGAAAAGAATTTGGTTTTCGCTGGAGACAGGAGAGTGTTTTGTTTTGTTTTTTGTTTTTTTTTTTGTTTTTTTTTTTTTTGGGTAGAAGAGAGAGGAGAGAGTTCCTCCGCCGAAATCAACAAGGGAAAAAAGTCAATAGTTGACTGGGCCAAAGGTGAGTGGACTTTAAGGAAACCAAGTAACATGGCCTAAGGTGTTATCTCTGGATTTGAGAAAGAAGTACACTTCATGGGCCTATAACGTTATTTTGGAGGCCTTACCCAGAAATGGCCTCTAAGTTTCAGTATAGTGTCTTATTCAAAAGCAAAAGTCATTATAGTGGAGAAGAATGAAGTGAGACCCAGCTCAATATCGAACTCAAGCCTCTTTTTTGTGAGAGTTGAAGTGTGTGTTTACTATTTATTAAAAATTCATTTAATAAAAATTAATTTAATAAAAGTTAATTATTATAATAAAATTTATATTTAAATATATTTTTTAAAAATTAATTTAAAAAGTTGAAAGTTATTTAAATTATATATAATAAAATATGTTTTTGAATGTACATTTATCAAAAAGAATATTAATTTTAATTATTTATAATTTTTGTTATACAAATGCTTCATATTAGATTAAAATGTCTTATATAAAAATTGAGATTATAAATTATATTTAATGAACTTTTTTTATGTGTAATTTTGCAACAAAAAAATGTTTTGTAAATTTGGATGTAGAGAGTATTAAGTATAATATTTCCTTAGATGTTAGGATAAATTATAAAAAAAGTAATATTTATATATAACATAGTAATTATTTATAACTTATTTAATTAATTCTATTAATTTTAATGAAAATTTATCACTTAACCATATGAAATCAATGTAAAAAGAAATAAAGGATGAAAATACCAAAAACATTAACTAAACTAGGAAAAAAAGGAAAGCAAAATACAAAAATAATTTGATATAAAAGTAAAAAGTAAGAACAAAGCTATCGACATATGACTCGTTCTCATTTGCAGGGCAGCCACGGCCCATCTTTGCCTTTCCCCCCACAAGGAAAATTTTAAAAAATTAGGAGGGCCACGATGTTTGCTGATCTCCCCTCCCTCTGCCACTATATGAATGTGTTTTTAAAAAACTTTAGCTAGTTGCGTTAGTAAATCCACATTCTCATTGCTTTGGTATCTGCTTAAAAGTCATTTTATATAGCTTTAAAGTATCCAAACAATATTTAGCTTTTTAAATGTGAGAATGTGTTTTGCAAACATTAAATGCTGTAAATCCAAACAGGCTCGAAGTTTTTGTTTTTGTGCAAGCATAAACATGGAGTTTATACATATCCCGTTATTAATGTAAGGATTTTATTAGTGAATGATTTATAAATATTTTTATAAATATTCTTTGAGCTTAAAAGCATATCCTAATCTTAATAAGCTTTTAGGACCAACATTAATTTTCTTTCTTCACTACAATATGGCAATTTTCCATGCCATTCTAACAATTAGAAGTTATTAACTATCTTATAAAAGTTGGAAAAATTACATATAAATCTTATGGAACAAACTTATTTATAAATAAGTCTTATAAAATTAAGGAAGGTTACATGCAACTAAGTAAAAGTTTAAAAGGATTATATATATTTCCGCCACACAGACATTAAAAAACAACAATAGAAACTTATAGTATTTAATGTAAAGGACCATAAAAAATAATAAATGGAGTAAAATATACCGACCACTCATCTATTTTGTAATAATTACAAAGACTTCTCACTATTTTAAGAACTCATATAAATCTCTCTTATAATTAAAATGTATGTTACATAAACTTCTCTTATATTTTGAAATTTATGTTTATCTATCCAATAATTAGTTACATTTAACTTTTATGTTTTTTTATTACTCATAAGTATCTTCTTATTGAAAGTAATCATATTTGATGCACGATCAAATACTAAATATGAGTACCTCTTTCAACAAAAATTTTAATTTAACCAAAATTTCCTACTTTAAAATGAGAATTATCTAAACATCTATATTTGCCAAAAAAAAATTGTATACAACTAAAAAATATGATAAATACATTTTCAAACTTTTATTATATTATAAATTTTGTTAATTTTTAACATATTATAAAATTTAACAATTTTAATTTTTATCAATTATTAAAAACTTTTTTATTTATGTTTTTAAAATTGCTAAAAATATATTTCAAACACATACTTTTTTCATCACATTACATAAAATGAGTTTAAATTTAAAATTTAAAATGATATAAATTCTAGAGATTATGTAAATAATTTAAATTTAAAATTTAAAATGTGTAAACATGTTTTTTTACAAAAATTTACAAATAAATTTAATTTTATTAATCGAATTTTCAATCAAATTTTTGATGTCAACTTCAACTAAAAATTACTTAAGCTTTTGTCCCAATTTGCTATAAACATGAATCAAATAACTACTCTCTGAACGAAAAAATAGAAGAATAAAAAAGAAAACTATTAAATTCTTAGAAACTATTCTAACCAAAATGTGCAATACAAATTACAAAATAAGCACACAATTATATATAAGTGGCTATGTAATATCCAATAAATTTGAATTTGAAATTAAAAAAAAAAACAAATGATGAGTTCACTCCTATTCTTGAGGAGAAGCCGAAAGCATTGGAACAATAGTCGAATGACGATAGTAAAGAACTCCACTAAGCATAATATATTCTGCAAAATCATATGAAAAATCAATTAATAAAATGCTCCAACATAGTTTACAAAAGACACCAAACATATAGAAAGGTGATTAGAGTATTTTACTTTTTTAATAATAATAATAACAACAACAACAATAATAATACACGTGCCTAAAGTTGAGATACACATCAAACTGTAGTTACCAGTTACACATATATGAAAAAAAAAAAGAGTCACAATTTTTGTTATTAAAGAAGGAATCACAAGTTTAATTAATTTATAAATTAAACAGGAATGAGAGAATGGTTTGATGAATCACATAGCATCCATCTCATTTGTAATAGATGAAAATTAAAGAGTTAATGATTATCTTAAATCTTAAATTATCATACAAATAGTAACCTAAATTCTAAACTCTTGAAATGTATTGAAATTTTTTTCAACTTCTAAATTTTAAACGCTTGAAACTCTGTCGTTAAGTTGAAGAAAATAGCAATTATTTTTAAAAGTCAAAATGAGTGTCATATCAATGTGCAACAAGGAGGAGAGAAAAATTATTAATTTTATATGAACAATAATAAATTTATTATTTATAAAATTATTTATATATAATAAAATTTAATATTTTAACATATTATATAGTATGTAATAATTTCTATCATATATTAATATATTATTGATTGAACAAAAACACAATAGCAAATTATTTTATCCAATGATGACCAAAAGTTATTTTTATCCAATTTGTAATTTTATTATTAAATTATTAAATATGCAATAATCTTAAAATTTTGAAACTACAACCAACTATGAGAAACTTAACTGAAAATTTAAAATTAGTATTTGTCTAATTAATCTAAAAATTAAATAGACTAGTTGTTTAACAAAAATTCATGATAAAAAGGGGCTCGGCCCTATTGCATACTAAAAAAAAAGTTCATGAAAAAATGTTTATAAATATAATTTTTGGGAATTGGTGTGTAAATTTAGAAATAAAATTTTCTCTCCAAAATTTCTTCACATTTAAAAAAAAAGTTGAAGATAAAAACTTGTGGCTCTTACATGTTATTTTTCTACTACTTTTCCCTTCTATTTACTTTTCTCTTCATAGCCAAGCAAAAGAAAATGTTATCTCCCTTCACTTTTCACTTCCATTTTTCTGCTCTCACTTTTTCTCCCATAGCATAAAAGTACTACTGGGAAAAAATGTTAATTGATTCATAAATTTTGCAAAATGACCTGATCATAAGCTTTTAGAAGATGACATATTGATAGGAACAGGGTGATTAGTAATTATCAAATATTTGATAATATTAATAAACTTGGTAATTTTAGCCCACTATAGGGAGGGTAATTATTCAGAATCACAGTTACTATTGTGTTTTGGTCTTTTGGAAGACCCGTAACATTATTATTCTTGATGAGGCTAACAAAAAGCATTTGACTTCAGTTTGCTATTTCTACATGTTCTACGATTTTGCTACGATCAAATTTGCAATTTGTAAATTGCAAGTTCGTCCTTCTTGCCATCAGAAAAATTGTACCACACAGAAAGGGAAAATTCACAAGTTTAATTATCAAAATCAAATCTTTTTTGCAGCGTTCCAGAATATAAACCGACGAAGATGTAGCTTTGGGCCACTTAATCATTAAACCAAAACCCCAAAAAAGAAAAAAGAAGAAAGAAGAAATAGGCCGCATCTACAATGTTAAAGAGGATCCAACAGCAAATTACATTCGATACTTGTGCACATATTTGGAGAGAGAGTGGCCCAAAAAAAAAAAACAAAGAAAGAAACCAATTTCTCACATCATCTCTTTTTCTCTCTCCCACTCGCGAGTCCTAATTAATATGTTGCCATATTCAGTTACTTGTATCAATATAGAAGAACATGGGACAGAGGCCACCAAAAACAGAGAAACCTATACAATTTGCGATGATGAAGATGAGGCGAACAATGGAGCTTCTTCTGCTGTAGTGGGGTTTGCAATAACAGATCCTTCTGTCACACATTTTGGAGCTGGTGGCATCTCAATCTGAGTGACTCCTTCTAGCATCTGCACCACTTTGCTCATTATTGGCCTCTGATATGGCTGTTCTTGGATGCACCAGAAGCTCACCATTATGGCCCTTTTCACTCCCTCCATATCAACTTCATGGTTAACCAGTCTCTTGTCCAGAATTCCTTTCATGTTACCTTTCTGGAACTCTTCATAAGCCCAGATGGAAAACTTTTTCCACTTTGTTCCTTCCGAGATTTCAAAATTCCTTCTTCCACTCACTATCTCCAACAAAACCATACCAAAACTATAGACATCGGATTTGGAAGTTGCCGGAAGATTTGCGAGCCATTCCGGAGCTAAATATCCTCTAGTTCCTCTTACACTTGTCAAGCTTCGGTTCCTATGGTCCGGGGCACTTGTGAGTTTTGCAAGGCCAAAATCTGAGACTCTGGCATTGTAATGCTCATCTAAAAGAATGTTTTCAGGTTTTATATCACAGTGGACAATGCAGTTTCTGCACTCCTCATGAAGGTAAGTGATTCCCCTTGCAGTGCCCAGCGCAATTCTGAATCGATACTCCCAATTCAGCAATTTCTCAGACTGAGATTCATTGACAAAAAGAGAATTGTCAAGGGACCCATTTTTCATGAACTCATACACCAAAAGCCTATGCTTTCCTTCAGAACAAAACCCAATCAGCCTCACTAAGTTCAGATGATGAGTGCTGCTTATAGTAGCAACCTCCATTCTGAACTGTTTCTCACCTTGCTCAATGCCCTCAAGTTGTTTCACTGCAATAACAGTTCTGTTAGCAAGAATTCCTCTGTAAACAGCACCAAATCCACCATCACCAAGCTTCTCTTTGAACCCTTTTGTTGAGCGCTGAAGCTCCTTGTATGAGAACTGAACTGGTGCTCCAGAAGCGTACTCAAGAAGAGCATACTGAGTAGAGAATCCGCGAAACCTGGAACCGCGTCTGCAGCACCACAACAACAAGCCACCCTCAAAGACAATCAAAGCCAAAAGGGTACCCAGAACAGCTAACGATATTATCCAAGCATGTATTTCCCAATCCTTTCCCTTCCCAGCTTCCTCCAATCTCGGTGGTGGGTTTGGTGCCACTGGTCCACAAACCTTGACATATGAAGTGCTGGGTAGTTCTGGATTGTGGTAGGTGCTGATGAAACTAGATGTCTTTATGTAACACAGACCTGTGCCATCTGATAATGAAGTAGAAGCAAAACAAGAACCAGCTGCAAGACAGTTTCCCCTGCAAGCTGATATACCAACGAAAAATACCTCTGGGTTAACCATGAATATAGGAGGATAAGTCAAGACTAGAGCATGGTCCAATTGTAACATAGCAGCCCTGCCTGGACAATCCTCAAGCCTCACTTTCCCCTTACACCCTTTTCTACTATCATTAGGATCAATCATCTCAAAATTCTCAGATGGGCATCCACAAATTGGGCTTAAATCCTTGTAACTACATACACCATAGTTCCCACAATACCCAAAAACCTTACATTGATCTTCAACAGCTATCCATCTAACAGTAGAAATTCCACTGCCTCTAGAAGAACTGTACATTCTCAAGTTCCCATCACTGTCCAACTTCAGAATTCTCAGAGTGCCATTCGCTTCAGCATAATCACTGCTATAAGCAATATCCACAGGAGTCACCAAATTCGGATCGAAAAGTCTCAAAATCCCTATCGACTGTAATTCCAAAACTGGCGAAGTTAAATTGACATTTATAGATGAATTCAGACCACGATCCCAGTATGGTACACTATCATTCCACCTAAGTGTGAGGTTACCTGAGCTAGTAACCGTAAATGAATACTCCCCAGATCGCAAAAACATGCCGGTTGTGAAATTCTGAGACGGCACGATGGTGTCAGTGGGATAGTCGAAGCTTGACCAAACGACACCGGTCCGATTAGAGAGAATCAAGTTTCCGTCGTCGTTCACGGAGGCAGAGGAGACGCCCAAATTGGAAGTACCGGAGTCCCAAACGGCGACACCGGAGCCGTTAACGAGGCGAAGAACGCCAGAGGATAAAAACTGAAGCGAGCCATGGGAGTCCACGATGACGCCGTTACCGGCGGACCAAACAACGGGTGTGCCGCCGGAGAAGACGACGGCGGCAATGAAGGAGGGAGGGGAAGTAGGTGGGGTTTGAGAAGGAAGAAAGCGGAGAGAGAAAACGTTGCTGGGAGATGGCCATGTTTGATTAGTGTCAGAAGCATAGAGTGTAGAACCTGGTGAAATACTAAGCGCTGTAATAGCTGAGAAGAAGCAAGCAACGAGCAGAAATAGCAGTTGTTTTGAGCAAAGCATGGTTATTTCTTTCTGGGTCTGTGAATTTGGTTGCGTGCATGAGAATGAAGCATGGCTTGGTATAAAATAATCAAATCATGAGCAAGAAAAATGGAAGAAAAGAAGACAAAAGTCCTTGACTCGCTGATAATCGGGTTGGTGAAGTGGAGAAGGAATAAATGCCGGTCTCTTGAACTCTAAGGTGTGGATTTTCAACGTTCAAACCGTTTTCTTCTCTCGAAATTTTGAATATGGTTTGTCGAATGATGATTGCCTCGCAGTCGCACAACAGAAGAAAAGTAAGAGTAGATTCAAACTTTGAAAAACAAGCAAGGACCTTCTGGAACCAGTTTCGGCATTGATTATGAAACTCCCCGTGCAGAACGAGAAAACTATCAATAAATTCACTCTCCTTTTGTATTGATAAAAAATATCCAAACAGTTAAGTACATTTCATAATCAAATGAGAACCCACAATCACACCAGTCTCATAACTTATCGTTACTTTTCCTTTCAATTCAATATCCATAGAATGAATATTCATAGAATGAAGCATGGCTTGATATAAAATAATAATCAAAGCAAAAGGAAGAAAAAACGAAGAAAAATGCAAAGGACTTGACCCCTAAGTTTTAAAAAAAAAAAAATACAAAGGAAGGCAAAAACTTACAGGTAAAAAAAAAAAACAAAGAAAAAACTAACCCACATCCCAGAAAGGTATTTAAGATCATAGTCCTTAATAGTTAAACATTCAGAAAATAGTTTTATAATAATGCACTGCTGGTGATATGAGGATAAACCGATAAAGCATTGCATGCTAACCTATCTATACAAATGTTTGCCTTTTTAAATATGTTTTCATAAAAATCTCTTAATCATACGTAAACATTTTTCTAATATTATTTGCAACTTCCTAAGACGGGGTGAGACTTGTTTTAAATTTTTTGAGTGTTGTTTTTTATCCATAATTTTGAGTATGATTGTCGAAAAAGAAAACGAAGACATACTCTTTTCAATCCATTTTATTAGTCATATTTTGGAAGCAACACATGATCCACGAGATAAGTTACTAGTTCATACTGACTAGTTATTTTAAATTAAAATTTTCAAAATACCTTTACTAATTTTCCAAAATATGAGAGAGAAATTTAAAAAAATATATTATATTAACTGATTGTACTTTTTGAAAATTAGGTTTGAAATTTTATCCATAATTATTCTTTATATTTTTATTATATTAATATTGATAATATTAATAATAATAACTTATAAAAAAATATATTATATTAATTGATTGTACTTTTTGAAGATTAGGTTTAAAATTTTATCCATAATTATTCTTTATATTTTTATTATATTAATATTAATAATATTAATAAAAATAACTCATAAAGAAGTTTGGAGCGAGTATACATCTATGCATGTGTACAGTCATGTTAATGTTAGGCTTGAATTTAAACTTTTTTCAAAAAAAGTGACATTATTGTTAGAAAGGTTAAATGATAAAAATATCTTAAAATTATTTTTTAAGGACATTTGGTATCTTAAATATTTTAAAAGCATTTTTGCTTAAAAAATTTAAAAAGCAAAGCATTTTTACCTCAATATTAAAAATCACAAATATTGATTATTAACATCATGATATTTTACAATTTTGCCCTCTTTCATTTTCGTACTTTTTGATCTTTATTTACATTTGTTAAAAGAAAAAAATTAAAAAATTTACTAGAGAACAAAACAGGAGACTAAACATAGAAAAGGGGGAAAAAATATAAAAATATTTTTAGTCAAACTTCAATTTAACAGTCAACATTTATAATTTTAATGATAGCATAAAAATGTTCTATTTTTAAAACTTTCAAAACAAAAATACTCTAAAAAAAATTTAAAATGTAAAAAAAAATTTAAATATTTTTACCTTTTTATCCTTGTTAAAATAACTAACTATTAACGGGGTTTTAATTCTATTTTGCGTTCCAAAATTTAATAAATATAAAAAATGACAACTTTGAATAGTATTAATAATAATTTACAAATTAAGCCAATTCTTAAAAAATAATATTTTAAATTATTGTTGATGACTTCTATAGACCCCACCTGGTAGTTCAAAGTCACCGGAGTTGCCCCCCCTTGTCATAATCATGTCCATCGAAGAGGGAATTGAAAAGAGGACATGACAGAGAAATGCCATAAATGCATTTTTGAGTTTTGGCACACGAATGGAAGTTTAATGACGTGGATGAGCTAGCTGTCATTAGTTAATTGGATGCACCTGCACTCGCCGGCAGGTTTCATTCGATATTGATGGGATCGGCATCCTGAAGGATAATATTCTCTGTCATCAAAAATATAAACCGTTTTTTACTTTTAACCTAAATTATTAATACATATTATGATATTATGATAAGTGAAAAATAAATTTTCATAAAAATTTAAATTAATAATATAAAAGGTAAATTTTTTTATGTATTAAATTGTTTATATTTTTAATTTAAAATTAATTAAGAGAAATTATTTATATTTTAAATTGAAAATAGTACTTTCCATCTTGTTTACAAGTTTTTCAGGAATATAGATCAATTTCGTGAGTAATATACTTTTTTTAATTAAAAAATATAAAATATTTTTAATCAAATCTCATCCTCAATAAAGTAATTATTTATTTTTAAATTAATATTATTTTTTTATATTTATTTTTATTAAACACACTATAATAAATATAAAATTACTATCAATAAAAGCATTTTAAAAAAAAAACAATGATTATACCTCAAAAGATTAAAAATACTTTATATTTTTGAACATCCAACTCTTTAAAAAATATCTTATATTTTTTAACAAAAGGAGTATTAATTAATGTAGACTCAAGATCTTGAATCAGCGAGGGCAAGGTTGTTAAACTCGTAATAGAAATATCAACTTAAAATATGGGCTTGGATAGTAAATTTATAGGAGTTTACTTCTATTAATAAATAGCCTTTAGAAATAAATGATACTTAAATAATTAAAACATAAAATATGAACATAATTTAATTTAAATATATTTTAAATATAAATTATTAAAATTAAATTTATCTACACTTGTATATTATTATACTCAACATAAAAATTTCAAAATAGAGCACCTTATTTTTGGTATTTTTTTTATTTTCTTTTTTTATAAATATTAGTTTTTATTTTTTTTAGTTTTATTTTTCATTGAATCAGATCTTACTACTTTTATGAATTAAGTTCTACACAAGATATACCTATTTTTGCTTAACGAATTTATAAGCAAATTGACATAATTTTATAAATTAAAAACATAAAAATGATATTAGCTGAGTTTTATCTAATCCATATTTATAATAATTTTATAAGTTAGAATTATAAAAATATTAAATTCATTAAATCAACTTAAGAATTTAACAACAATGAGTGAGGGCATAAAATATAAAATGATAAAAATTAAAATTAAAATACTATAAAAGATAATACTTCCTCTATTAAAAAATGTAAGGTATTTTTTGAAATGTTAAATGTTAAAAATGTGAGGCATTTTTTATCTTTCGAAATATAATCATTATATTTTTTTAAACATGTCTTTATTAATAATAACTTTATATTTATTATAAGACATTTAATAGAGATAAATATAAAAAAAATAAAGTTAATTAAAAAGTAGATAACTACTTTATTGAGAGTGAAATTTAATTAAAAATATTTTATATTTTTAAAATGAGGTCGTGTAACTCTATGTGACTAAGAAAATAATGATATAAATTTAAATTTAACATACCAAGAGCTTAAAATATATTCAACTTAAATAAATTATCAAAGGTTTAAATTTTTTTTTAGAATTCACACATGTCTGATTTTGAATCTAGTGGGCCCAAAATTATTAAATAAGTGTAAATTTTTAAAAATTATAATATGATAATATTTATAAATTTTATCAAGTTGAGTAGGGCATTTGCTCATCTACACCTCAACGTAGGTCTGCCACTGATATCAACACTACTTTTATCACTCCTTAAAACTAGGCATCTGGCATTAATTCTGGCCAGTAAAAGAGACTTTCAAAGGCAAAACTTTCAAGCGGCTCTGGCAGTTCACTTTTTTTTTTTTTTTTTTTGCCCCAACTTCCCAGAACTGCAAAACGATGTCGTTTTGGATTTTTTTTTTTTTACTGTCGATGTCAAGCACGAATACTTGATCACATGAACGGGTCCTAATTTCCTAAACGGCCAAACCTAAATCTCTCATCTTGCTCGCAGCTCGTGTTGAGGCAGAAGTGCAGACTGCACTGCCCAAAAAAAAAAAAAAAACAAATTTGAACTAGAAAGGCAGAAACCAATAGCATCTTCGTTCTTCCTCTCCTCTGTTCCTCAATCTCGCAGTCATCTCAGGTCTCACTGTCAGTCTCAGTCCTGCGACTGGTCGTTCTCAACTGCTCGTGAATCCGAAGAGGCCCTTTCTTGCTTAACCGCTCATGACTTCGCGTTCGACCGCTACTGGAGTTTCTTGATTTCTTCCTCTCTTTTGCTCGTGAGTTTGGTGCCCCTTTCATTGTTTACTTTAAAAATGAAGAAACTTTGGTGGTCATGTTTAGTCAGTTGAAAATTTTCAAGTAAACAATTGGAAATGCAAAAGCTTGAAAAGTTTTTTTCTGCTTTCAATGCTGTTCAAGGGTTTGTACATTATATAAAAATTGAATTTAAAAGTTTATATCACGATTTTTTTCTTTTCTTTGATAAGCAGCTATGGTGGGATATTGGGGTGATTACTTTATCACCAACTCTGCAGGCTAAAAAATATATATATATATATCAACACCTTATAATTTTTAATATATAATATTTAAAATATATTAATTTAATTATAAACGATTTGACTCTAATTTGACTTCAATTCAATCTTTGAACCGTGAATCAATATCTTAATTGGTTCAATACCTGATTCAAGTCTAATAACATTGCTTTCAACGCCTTCAACGCTGCCAAACTCTTCCTTTTTGTCACCCTTATATCTTTTCGCAAAATAAACCTTTACATGCATTAACTATGTCCTCCTCTTCATCTTGATGCATTAGGAGTTCCCAAGCACTAAGAGATAACATCTTAGCTTATCCTTATTCAACAATGCTTGAGAATTCCACGCAAGGGTTGAGCTAGGATTTAATAATAGTTGAGGTCAAGATTTAAAAACATATGTTATATATAAAGCTTTCTTAAGTCTTTTAAAAAACTAACATATGCATGTTTAGGCCAAAATGAAACAACACTTATTTAAAAGAGACACAACAGCTATAGCAAAACATGGGCAGAGCTGATGAAGTGTCAGCCCCAACAAGAGATCTAATAATAAGACCAGTTCATATCATGGTAAAATGACCTAGTTAAGTCAATTTGTGTTTAATCCTTTAAGACTCGAAATCTCTATCAAGATCATTAAGTCGCATTAGACCGTGATCTCAAACGAACTCTGAATTATCTCACAAAATCATAACCATCATCCATGGATATTTCAAAGACATGAGCTAGCAACTAACAATAGTATGTTTGGATGATGCCGTCAAGGGAGATATGATGTATCGTGCCATGAATCTCGTGGGCCATGCATATTGAATTCTTGTTAATTCATGAACGAGCTTCGAATTCTATGGGAGCAACCGTCTCAACTGAACCATTATAAAAGGAAGAGAAGATTACAAAGAAGGGACCGAACAACAATCAATCTCTAACACCCATTATATCTTTATCTTTTTATTCTTTATTTTCATATAGCTTTTAACATCATTTTTTGTTTTGTAATCTTTACAATATTGTATTCCGCATATTCTATTAATCAAACATTTGTTATTTCAATTTTTTCACATCTTTACATTTAGGTAAATTGTAATAAGGGAGTCTAAGAATCTTTTATAATTTTTTGAGACTCAGTATTTTTAGCATACCTAATACTTTTGTTGTTCACAGAGAATAATGTAATATTTATATAATACTAAAAAAATTTTAAAATTTAGATGGCTGTGCTTTGTTGGCTTTCCTCCCCTTCAAACTAGTGATGGACTTATATGCAGTACTTGAGTGGGCAAATGCCCCCACTTGCTTAAAATTTTGTAGGTATGTTAGCGTAAGAAAATTTTACACTTCACCCTTATAAAATTTAGAATTTTTGGCCCATTAAATATATATAAACTATTTTTTAAAAAAATTTATTTTCTCCCTAAATATAAGGGGTGCCATGCTATTTTTAAGTAGTTGGACAATTTTACCTTTGTTTTGAAAAATGAAGGAGATATTAATTGTGTGTTTTATCCACCACTATCATGATGTTAATTATGACACTAGGAGCAAAATTGAAAAATTATTGTCATTTCAACCAAATAATAAAATTTTATTGATATATAAAATTTAATTAAAAATATCTTATATATCAAACGAAAAGAGTATTTTCATCACTTGGAAAAAAATAATGGTTCAATGTAGTACTAAAAATTAATTATATTTATGTATTTTGAATAGAGGAGTGCAATATAATTAGTTAATCAATTTTATTTAACTTAATTTTAAAGTTAAACATGTTTTATTTAAATAATAAATTTTTTAATTTTTTTTTAAATACCCCGACCAACCAAAGATCCTTGATCCTTGGCCTCTATAAGCTATTCTCACCATTAGCTCTGCGGTTGTCACCAGTCTCACTACTGCCACTCCCCTGGCGCCTTCGTTCACTAGCACAACACCTACGCACACATTAGACTCTAAAATATGAGTTGAATTGCATGAGTTGATCTGAATAATTAATCATAAAAGTTAAATTATATTAAAAAAAAATTGATTCAAATAAAAAGTGAGTTTTTTTTTATTTCAAACCATATAACCCATGAAACTATATCAGCTAATCCTAATGAATGAAGGTTAGCACATTTAACTTGTATTATTTTTTAAAAAAATTAAAAGGAAAAAGGAAAAATTTTGTGGTTGTAGAGCATATTGAGCACGATTAATTTAACTAGATCAATTCATATATTTTGTGAAAACATTATAAATTAATGTTTTAGTATGTCTAAAATAAGTTATAAAGGAATGTTAAATTAAAACTCATTATTTAAGCATATTTTTTTAAATTTATGAAAAAAGATAAATTAAAAAATAAATAAATGAGTTGACATATTAACCCATTTGATACTAACCATTAAAAATTAGGTTGGGATTTTTTTAACTCATACAAAAATAAATAAACCCAATTCAATTTATATTTCTTTCATTCTATATGAACTAACTCATATATAGTTCGAGTTGGCTCACATTCTCAACTCTCACACACACCCATGATGCTTTGTTTGTAAAGTGTTATATCTCTCTTTCTCTCTGTTTTTCTATGGCCAGAGTTGTTAGGAAGTGTTATCAAAATCTTATTATTTATATTAATGATATCTACTTCGATCGATTAACTTGATTTTCTTTAAGTGAAAGTATTAGGTGTTATATAAATGTATTAAAAAAAAATCTTATCATTTATAATACACTGTGGTATCCATCAAACATGGCTTCGCAATAATTTTTTTTTACTGGCACGCAATATTTAAAATGTAGAGAGAATGTCGTTGAAATACTCCTAAACAAATTTAATATCTGACAAGAATTTAACAAATATTAAACATTAACAATTAACAAATATATGATCTATTCAAACTTTTGTCAGAATATTAAATTCTTTGAGAATATATTCTCCCTTTAATGTATGACTTTAATTATAATTACGTTTATTTATGAGAAGTTGCCATCATCATCACATGTAAAAAAATGCTAATTACCTCAGCCATCATGATCCCAAGATCTTATGCTCCAGTGAAAGAAGAGTATGGTGTCCGTACCTTGTATGATTACATGAATCAAATTTAAATTATAATTTTTTAATATAAAATGAAAATGATTTATGAACATAATCTATTAGTTAGAGTATTTGTTAACTCAATAATACTACTTGTTATTAAAATCTAAAAATTAAAATTTTCCAAATTAAATTTCAATCATTTTTTTATTTTGTACTATTCAAGTTTTGATTTTGTAAATTTCAACCATTTGAACTCTTACTACAAAAGAGTTTTCATTCTTTATACCATGAAATCAGGTTAGGAGAAAATTTTACATGAACCAAGAATATATAATCTCATTTATATTCTATCCAATAAAATTGTATTAGATTAATTAAATAAAACTTTATATTTTATTTTTTTAATATTTTTTTAAAATAGAGTATCTATTTAATTTCTTATGTTTTCTCTCATTATCATTATCCTGAATTAAAATTAAATGAAATTGATATAACATAATTTTATTAGAGTGATGCAAAAATTTCTCTCAATGTACACAAGAATCTGTAGCATCATATATGACTATATGTCAATTTCCTGATTAAATAATACAGGTACGTTTTTAACTACCATGACATGACATGAGTCAATTTTGTTATTAAAGGAGATGTGAGTGACAAAATTTTATATTTTATTTTATATTTTTAATTTAATTAGATAGAGCTCCAGTACAGTATAGATTCCTCTTGAAAAGCTGCCGGAATCTGCTTCCCACTCGCAGTCTCCTGGGTTCTTTTACTAGATTATTATCCACATCTTCTCAAAAACCTCTCCAAATTGCCCCACACAGGGAAAAACGAAGGCTTTCCTCTCGAATCCAGGTGCGTTCATTAGTTTCACTTTCGTTTTATCAGTTTGGTTTTTCTTTCAATCATGCAATTATATTTTAATCTGAGACCCATTTGCAAATTATTTCAAAATCTAATGAATTTTTGTCAGATCTGAGCATACCTTTAATTTCTTGTTGTATAATCATTGAGTTGCTGCTGTTTGTTTGAGAGAATCAATTTTTATGACTCTACTCGGTGTTGCGAGCTGGAAACAACAAATGAATTGACGTTGGCATTTAGGTTTGCAGTTTCGATGTACAGTTCCGACTTATGGATTATACATAGTAAATAGAACGAAAGGAAGAATTTGAAGTAGATGACATTGTAGATGTGATTTTATGCGATTTACTTTCTAGCGGTAGAAACATAGGTAGTGGTCTGTGTTCTTGATTAAGCTGCTACGGCCAAAAAGAAAATTGAACTGCTTTCATTTTAGCTTAATGTGGCTCATTTATCTTCCACTTTGTTTATGTCTTGGGTTTTCTTGTAATGTTTGGCTTATCAATCATTAAACCTAACACTATGTTTACCTAGATCTGGATTTTTCTACATTTAATTTAACTAGCAAATACACTGTATATTTGTTAAAATAAATAGAGAGAAAATAAGAGTGAGTAAAAAGAGGAGAAGCTGACATCTTACACATTTTACTTTTTTGCATTACTCTTTCCTGAATATATCTTACATTATTGCAGAGGATCACAATCTATTTACCTTCCAATTTGGATTAGCTACAAAGACATTGTTATAATGTGTTGATACATTTGCTAGATTTAGATAGAAGGAGAGGAAATGCATTCTAGTTATTGTCTTTCAACCCTTTGCACATATTATCAATATGATTAGCAGTAAAACAGTAATGCTGTATTTGGTGAGAAAAGCGGAATGGTGAGGAAGTGATAAAGGACAATGTCTTTGCTGAAATTGACTTTTCTCCAAGTCACTGAGTATTCTTCTTTGATGATCATACATGAGAGCCCAATGTTTCTTCTATACATTTTGACTTGTATATCTGATTTGATTTCAAAAGGGAAAAGCTTTATGCTGTTGTTAACCTTCTTATTTGATACGTCATTTCTCTCTGTGGTGTGTGAAACAAAGATCAGAAGATCAATTTGATCTTACTGTTTATTGCAATATAATTGAAAATTAGAAGTATGAGAAATTGGCGTTGATCCTCCCAAACAAGACTGATTAAAGTTGCGAAAAAAAAAAAAAAACAGAGACCAACAAAGTGAAGATTCTCTACCAGCGTTGTTCAAATCTAATAATGGATTGCCTTATTTTTTTTTTTTTCATGATCTCAAAGCAGTCAAGGATGTATCATATTGTCTGAAAAATGCTGCTTGCTTGAGATGAAGAATTGATAAATGATCATTATAAAAATGAAGAGATTTCTTGGGATTTATATCTATAACAATGTCATGCTCACTATCACCCAAAAAAAAGAAGGAATTGTTTAAGCTTAGCTGCTTGCACTTTGGATTTCTGATTGATAATCTGCTGATGGACAAGGGATAAATTGTGCAGAAGAAAGCTTTAATTAAACAAGATATATAGTTCAGAAAGTTGCTCTCCTGAGCAATGTTGTAGAAACTGAAAGCTTATCTTATTAACTCTTAAGGCTTAGATTGAACTTGCTTTCATGTGAGCATTCAGAAGGATCTCTTTGGAGAACTAATAAGAAAATGCTATTCTCTTGTCTTCTTGGCTCAATTTGCAGGCACAAGCTGTTGAAGTCCAAAATGAGTCTAGCATGTCTTGTTTGTCGTAGCATGGAAAGTCCATCACCATCACACTCTTTCAGAAGTTACTCTGTTTCAAGTTCAGATCATGAGGGAAGATGTTCTGCTATTGCCAACTGCTTAAACAGGAAATCATCTTTTGCACGTCCTGCAATTGTATCTTCATCTTCCAAAGTTACCCCACAACCTACTGTATCAATGCCGGGGACGCCGAGGCTTGTTCGAAGCCGAGCAGTGAGGAGGGATCTTGTGAGAGACTGGAATTTTGATGGAGCAACAAGTGAACTATAGCTGGTAGAACAAAAATCAATGTCTCATCTTATGAGATAGTTTTAGATTAAATCTGGATGCTTATGATTTTACAATGGATTCAATTGATTTGAATTGATAGTTTTAGAGGATTGGTGGGACTGGGGACTGAGATCATTGAATCCATTGGTCATATGTAATATTTTGCTGTCATTCCCATATAATGCTTTCCAGGATCTTTTCTTGAGGGTAGCTCGTCATCTAAAAAAGTCGAAATATTTGTAACCATGTGTAACAATTAATTACGATGCAATCCATTTGGAAATATGCACGAAGAATTTGTGTATTTTGTTATTTATTTATTTTTTTTAATATAAGGAAAATTATATTAAAAAGAAAATGAAAATACAGATAGTAAATTAACTTTATTTAGTGGTTCTTACCATCATAATTGAGTAGTGTAAATGTCGGGCAAAAAAAAGTGTGCATGGATGCATATAGAGATTTTCGCTTGAATTTTTTAATTTGTATATTTATTAATAAAATAGCTTGAAATAACTTTCTATTTTTTCTCTAATGTTTTACTCTATCAAGTTGTCAGCCTCAATTGGCGTGAGATGTTCTTTTCCACCGTAATTATAGGGGATGTTGGAACAAGACATCACTTGAGAAAATGTGATGTAATTATCATAACTGCAATTATTTAAGTAGATTAGGCTCTTGCTAAACTCAAAAGGCCTCTTTTTAGAACTGTTTTTTTCGTAAAAAAAAAAAAGAAATGTAATATTTATGTCATCTTACTATTATTTAATAATATCCATTTACTTTTATTATTTTAGTAAAATTAAGTTTTAAAGATAATTTTTTATCTGTATTTTAATTTTGTCATTATATAACCAAATGACACCTAAAATTATTTTAGTGTAATTAAAAATTTTATTGTCAAAATACACAAACTTCCTTTTAGTTTCACAGCTCAAGTAATTTAACTTTTGAATCGCTAGTAAACTTGTATCAGAACATTTTTAGTCTGGTACCACAATGGCATTGAAACACCATTTAATCCAAAGAAAATATCGCAACACAAATTTGTTCAAGAAATCCGCAGCCCTTCTAAATTTTTATATATCCCAGAATTCCATCCTTACCTATCTCCTCATTATTCTTTATATAACATTTAAAAAAACAATGGAACTATAATCAAATGTGAATGGAACAATCCCATTGAAATCTCTGAAATATGGTGTGTTATTTATTTATTACATGTCGTACTAAGATACTTTTAAGATAATAAGGTGTTTTTTTTTTAATTCTTTACAAGCGTCTTTTCATTGAAAACAATCTTGTTCAAAGTATAATCGGGAGTAAAATATAATACAACAAAAATTTGAACCTTATTTTTTTGCCTTATAAGAAATTAGCTTTTTTTGTTAGATTCAATACTCATTGATTAATAACGTGTTATTTTTCTTACTTGTGATTACCTGCTTCAAAATTTTGACCCCAAAAAAAAAATAAAAATAAAAAAGAACTATGTATATATGTCATGGTAAGTGACAACATTGAACACCCATTTGAAGGCATGTTAGTGGGCTAAAAATGCAGTGATGCACTAGTTGGCTTGGGATTATCTCAAAAATCTCTTTAAAACTGCAGACATACAAATTCCTGTAAAATATGAGAGGATCCCACATACAGGGCATACCGCACAATAAACCCACACGCACAAATATTTTTTTCCCCACAATCATATGAGAGTTTGGTCCTAGAACATCTTGCATCAAGGGATAAGATTATAAAGATGGGTGCCATTTGAATTAAAGGTTCTTAGCGAATACTTCTTCCTTTTAAACAAGATCTCGAATTCAAGTCTTATATGTAGAGAAAATTGCACTCAAAAAGTTCCGCATCCATGTAATTTGTATATGGAGCTTGTAAAGAAGCCATTTTCAAGAGAGAAAGAGTGTTAATGCCCTAAATTTTCAGCCTTTTCTCGCTGTACAATATTTGGCTTTTGGTCAAGTTTATTGCTGGATTCTATTTATGCAGGTCACCAATATATATCTTACTCAACATTCTTCCAATAGAGCTTCTTTAGGTTGCTCCATACAAAAGAAAACCATTATAATATTTGAATCCCAAATAACTTCATGAAGAAACAGAAAGATTGAAACAAGTTTTAACGTCTAGAATACAGTGGATCTCTCTGCAACAAGAAAGGATAACCAATGCCTCTCCTCTTAGATGGAAACGCCACAAATAATACACTCACGACAAAACCAACCACAAGAGGAATTGTATTGATCACCTTTCTGGGAATTCGTGGGTAATAGCACTTCACAACATCATGATGCAAACCTGCAAAAGCAAGAAAAGAAACCAAGGAAAGTGAAGCATGGAAGAGATCACTCCATCTCAGTCTATAATCTGACGGCTCACATGGCTTCTTCCTTCCTCCATTAAAAGTCCATATCCCTCTCAATGTTGCCACCCCATAACACATCCTTCCGCTGGCTGTTCTGAAGCTATCAGTGAAGGTGAAGAACACACATGACACTGCTAATATGACCAGAAACATGCCCACGAGCCACCGGTGCAGGGTGCTGCATTCGCCGTCCTCGGTCAGGATTGGAGTGAGGATGCTGAAAGCAAGAATAGTGGCTGTGGGTAACAGAACATTGAGCCTGGCTGTGCCACTGAGTATTGCATTGATGATGTAGAAGTAGTAAGATTCATCAATCTCATGGTCATCAATGTCAGAGAATTCACTTTCGCTATGTTCAGGATGGGGAATTAAGTCTTGGGTTGTTGAGTTGTTCATCTTCACAATGAAATGATGTTGGAGAATGTTTGGAAGAGGAAGCGTGGGATGATTTTAACAAGGCCATGTAAAAATAGGGATATGTTCCTTCCTTTGAAATGAAAATTCATGCCAGTGTTTCTTTCTCAAGCAGTAAGGCATATATTGTTTGCTTTTTCATTGGGAGATGGGTTTATGCTTTCCCATGTTTTCAGAAGAAACCCTCTATTTAAAAGCTTTAATAAAGGAATCTTTACCATTGTTGGAAATCTAGTCAGACAGATCATTCTGCAGATGAATTCTGAGATCAGAGAGGGAGTAGAAAATGTGAGTCAGGTTGTGGAATCAGTAGCATATCTTGAAATTTAAATTTTGCAAGCACCGCAAGGTATTGCAGACTAATACAATGTGAACACCATTAATCCTTGTTAAAAAGAGAGGATAATGAAAAGAATCCAAAATGAGTGGAGGTCTATATACTTTAATGAGTGATTAAAATTCTAGTCTTTAAATTTTGATTCAAAATAACTTAGTTCTTATAAATCTTGTATCTTTTTAATTTAACAGTCTATAATTTCTTAACAAAAGAAAATTTAAGAACTAAAAGTTATATTATTCCTAATTCTTTTTTCGTTAGATTTACTTCAATGGTCAATGAAATTCCTTCTTTCTTATATTATAACTGAATCAAAGCTCCATATCTTTGGATCTAAAGATTCCTTGCCAGTTTCCTTCGTAAAGTGGAGACGAAATAAATAAATAAAGCAGTGAGTCTCATCCATCAGTGTAGGAGAAAAAGATGCTGGAAACTTTACTTTTCATTGATTCCGGGTAAATCTTTACACTTCTCCAACGCTATACAAAAGTCATACTCATCTCATGCTGGACAGGATGAACCAGTAGAATGACACCATCGCCAAAAATGGCAGAAGAACCGGACTAGGGCATATGTAATTGGAAACAATAAATACTCTTTCTATGTACACTAATACACCTAATTTCAACAGGCAGTATTCTCAATAGAGATAAAAATATTGAGAAACCAGATATATCATGACTTTGACTAAAAATCCATTGACTTGTCACCCCTCTTTGTTTTGTTGGATAGAATCATCTTCCCCAGAGCCACAAAGTTTGCAAGGATCAGTGAACTTCTTTTTGCACCAGTGATCTGGAACACTCAAGAAATATGTAGACATGAACTTTCTGAATCTCTTCTTGTACTCTTTGGGAGAGATTACAGTTGGCAACACATTCCTGGGCACAACAAGTGAAGTCTTCATCCAAGTCTCAAACTGCTTGTCCCAGGTATACTGCCTGAGATAATCAATAATCCCGCAAACGAGCTCACGCCTCTGTGAATCCACTCCAACAAGTAAGGAGTAATCCATCACATTGATCGACTGCGAAATAAGGAAACCATGAACTACAAGATACAAACTAAACACGGGGCACGCATGCTGAAGGTATTGGCAACATGCAAAAAATCTACCTGTCCAAGATGCTATAATGATTTAATTGCAAACTTACATTGAGAAAAGTTGTGTCGTTCCAAACAGCACGGTGAAGAAGACGTCTTTCTTTATTGGTAACATACAATGGAGAAGAGTTCATGTCATTCACGAAGTTCTGATCCAGAAGAACATCCCCAGCATTATCACCAGCAGAATTGTACCGAGCGTAAAGTGCACCTTTAAGATCATACTGGCGAGTAATATTGCGATTGTAGGTAAGATTTTCCATCACCATGAGATCATGCTTAGACTCTTTCCCACTTTTTGCATGCCTTTTAGTTACCTGCAGAGAGCATGAATTGCTGAGATCCATGAAAAACAAAATAAAACGGGAGAGAACTTCAATCCAGTACAAGAGAAGTACAAAACACAGACAATATACCAACCTGATATATCCCCAAAACTTTTGCAAGACATGTCTGACTGCCAGACTCAAATGACTCCTTCATGTACTTGAAATACAAAGGGGCAAACGCTAGAAAAGAATCAAGCTCTGTCTTCTTGATTTCCTTTATGATGAACCTATCATCAAGTGTCTTTGCAAAAAAGGACTTGCTTTTTCCACCTTTGGCATCCCAATTCAGACAATGGCTTAAAGAAGCAATATAGTCAAGCTCAGATGGGCAACACCAATTTCGAAGTTCACGGAACTGATTAACATATTGACAAATCACAGAATACTTTTCCCTTCCAAGAGATTTTACATATCCCATATGTATCTCTATAGCATTGTTTTCTGGTGCTCGGGAGGCTCGTGACTCTTCAGAAGAGGTGCTTCCTGTTGAATGCACAGAATCAGAATCTGCTGAACTACCTGTACTTGTATGTGGAGATGATATATCAGTCAGGGCTTCTAAAATCTCATTCGTTTTTGAGGCTATTCCACTCTCTCTCCTATAATCCTCACTGTCAACTCCTGTCACCACAGACAAATCTTTCATCAAGGCCAGTGCACAAGCAATTATGCTAGAGAGTTCTCCCTCATTGTCAGATACAACATGATCATCTGTCCTCAGAGGTATGTGCAACCTTGTACCTTCCTCAGCAATCAGCTGATCAGCTGTAGGTAGATGTTCTGCAATAGAGCTGCTGAGAGATTCAAATTTAGTCAAGCATTTTTTATGCAGGTCCCTCATGCTTACCCGTCGGATATCAGCAAAAGGCTTCCAGAACCATTCATTTGAATTCAGCAAGCTGGAACCTGGTGAATGCAGGGATGCACTTTTGTTTAACACCTTTAAATCAGAAACCGGGTGATTAATATCTCCAGAGACTGGAAGGTTTTCATATGCCTGAGGATTTGACATAACATCCTTTGCCGGGAGATTGCGATCTGCTGAAGGATAATTCGTAGAAGCTTCCAACCTCAAATTCAACTGTTGGTCAGAAGATCTCTTCAAGCTCATATTACCCAAAACAGGCTTTTCCAAATTCCTTGGATCATTAGGAGTGTCAGAAGGATCATCCTGTTCACTACCCTCTGCAAGAGGTCCTTTTACAGGAATTTCCTTTGTTGGGAGTCCATTTACTTCCATCGATGAGTCTGACATAACTTCCACATCTACACTCCCATTTATAGACTCAATTTCTCCACTAACAGTGCTCTCCAACTTTGAATCATTACTACGTTCTTGCTTAACGTTCTCAGCTGCACCAGCGTCAACTCTTAATACATCTAGTGAGAATAATGAGTGCATGCGTCGAACCCACACACAAGATTCAATCAGTAGATCCCACATCAACCGATTTAGACTGAGAAGTTTGTAGGCAGCCTGGCCAGGATTACCATTCTTAGCAAACGCATTCTTGATGTTAGCCTGTTACAGTGACAAAGCCAGACATAGGAATTGTCCATAAATATTTAACCAAAGCAGCAAATGAAAAGATTCAATAAAAAAAAAAAACTAAAATCACTAGAGAGTAGAGAATGAAAATCTGATGCTGAAGCATCACTTTAACGTGTGCACAATCATGTAGGTGAGAGAGAGAGAGAGAGAGAGAGAGAGAGATCAGTTCCTGTTCCTCTATCAAACATTGTACTCCCTCCAGTCCTATTTATAAGTCATTTCTACCAACCTCATCAATACCAATACAATAAAAGTACAAGGAATAAAAGTAAGTAAAATTTCAAACATGCCCCTATATAACAAATCTAAAAAGTAATGTCCTGTTACTTTTTCTCTCTCATGAAGGGTAATTTTGGAAATACTTCTCAAATATTACCTAAAAAGACGCACCGTGACTTATAAATGAGACCAAATACACCTTCTAAAATTAGACTTATAAATGGGACCGGAGGGAGTATGTCACTTTTATTCTAGGCAGCAGAATGCGTATCAAAATGTTGTTCATGTATACATACGGCACCGAAAGAATTGGCACATATCATGGTTGACAAATCAACATGTGAATGAACTGTAAGTGTAAGCTAAGATTTAGGGATTACTGCACTTACATGCAATGCCAAAATTTGGATAAGATAACATGAGAAGTTTAAACTCTTATACGAGCAGATGGAGTAAAAATATCAAAATCATTTAACAACAGAAGGCTAACCTCAAACTCTTCTCTTTCTTGCTTTAACATCTCCTCAACCTGAGAGAACTCACTTATTGATCCTCCAAGATTCAAAGTTGAACCGTCAAATTTACCTTTTAGTGTCTTCAAACAGTTTGCAACTTCTGTGAACAGTAACATGCCTTTCATATACACCTTAACACGGAAGGAGATGAATTTAGTGCAGGAACTTTATAAGACAACAGCAACAACTAAACAAATCAGGACACCAACAATCAAGATAGCAGCAGGAATTAATGGCAAAATAGGGAAGTGAACATTCTTAACCTCTTTAAGAAGCTGATCATTTTGAAATGCACCAGTGAACTCCAGCTTTTTAGGGGGCATGGACACAGTATAAGTAGTGACGGAAGAATATCTGAACATAGTGACCATGTGACCTAATCTGCATGAAACCAAAAATACAATAAGACACCAAATAAAAAAAAAAAAAGGATACATAACATGCAAAGTTAACGCCGTGCCCTTTACCTGAGTTGCCCCAAAATCATAAAGGAAAATTCTGGGCATACTAATGACTATAGTTCAGAAATAATATTATTACATGAAAACAACTAAAGATAATGGAAAACCCTTATTCACAATCATTGAAAGTGTATAAAAGGGATAAGATTCTAAAAAATCATGTAGGGGCTACGAACATTAAAATTCTTTTTCAAAATGCTATAAATTAAAAAGAAGATTCACCAAGGAATCTAAAATTAGAATAGCACCAAAATTGCTTATCTTTACAATCTACATTTCCTTCATCTGATCCCATGACCTGAGCATGTCTGTGTCTTCCTGTTCACAGCAACACATGGCCCAACCAATTATCTATAAAAGACTCTCTAATTACTATGTTTATTGTATTGTTTTCCTTTACTTTTTGTCAAGGGCAGGGGTAGGAAACATATAAGTCTACAGAAAATGGTTTAGTAAAGAGAAATCATCATACCCAAAGAAGTACAGAAAATCCCTATCAAGAAAATGGCCACAGCTTGATTTTCGACCTGAAGAATAGTGAGAAAGGCTAAGCTCCAAAAATTTTCCAAATGATAGACTACGGGCACTGGTGGACATCAACACTCTCTTAGTTGACCCAAGCATGCATTTTCCACAACGGCTCCACATCCAAAGCTTCCCTTCTGCTGCTCCAGGTAAACACTTCTCCAGGGGAAGTTGTTTAACTTGCATAGTAAGTTGCTTATTGTGATGAGCATAATAATAGAAGTGAGCTTCTGGTAATTCATGACAGGTGTCACAAAGTCTTGTCTGCATATTCAATACAATAGTTAGTCAGATCTTAGTCAAGAATACAACAAGAAGAATAAACCTTATCCCTCTTTACTGATGTCCCCATTAAATAGAAGAAGGCACTGTATTCCCATTACTGCTTTAGTCATCTACTAGAAAGGAAAATGCTAAAAAAAAAAAAACTGAAATAAATGAAACCTGATTGAGTAGATTATCCTGAAGAAACTTTCCAAGCGGGACATCAAAATTTTTGTAAAACATAATATGAGAGAAATGACTTTGTTGGCATATAGTCCCTCTTAATGCATTTCGGCTAGACATCAAGACCAAAATACTCTGAGAATCCAACACAGCGTTGATATCATCTTTATTTTGCAATTGATTTTCATTATCATCACCCTCTTTACTTTTGCCCCCATTAAATTCCAAGCACCCACGAAAACTCTGTGATTGTCTCCCATTAAATGATTTCTCTTCATCAGAAAAATTTCTGGCTTCAATTTGGTGATTGTCATCTGTTTCTTGATTTTCTAAAACAGAAACTGATTTGTTGACTTGACCATCTGGTTCCCTTTCATTCAGGCCAATACTCTGGGATTGTCTGCCATTTGGTGCTTTCTCTTCATCACACAAACTTCTGGCTACAATTCTGCTATTGTCATCTGTCTCTTGATTTTCTAAAAGAGAAACTGATTGGTTGACTTGAGCATCTGGTTCCCTTTCATTCAGACCAAAATATGTTGACAGACTTTGATAAGAAGCAGAAGATGAAGGGCGCATACTGCCTCCAAGAACTTTCTTTAAAGAAGATGAAATCGCCAAGAATCCAGAAAATATTACTGGATTGTATGGTTCATGGGAAACAGGGGAAAACTCTTCTAAATTGGAACTGTCAGTATTTCCTTCATGGGATCCATTGCATATGGGAATTTCAATACTATCTGGTCCATTTTCAGTAGATGAACACTCTACAGATGAAATGCTTGAATCAATGGATTCTATATTATCGGATTTTTCATCAGTTGGCAGGGTATCTGCTGTGACATTAGCAACAGAAATGGTAGAGAACATTGCTCTCTGATCAACAAGAAAGGAAGTCTCAAGGACTAAGTGATATGCCATGACAACTGCACACCGCAGGACACATTTCACCCTCTTCAACTCATCACTGTTTGCTCCTTTCAGCAAAATCTGCAAAGTTAGGTATTGAAGTACTTAATAGAACCCAAAATCAAAGATGCAAAACTCATCAGCAGGGCGAAAAATCTTCAACCACAGCCTTAAGCATATAAGAAGACATTGGCCAACAAAAAAAAAAAAGAAAGTATATAAGCAGACAGTGCTAATTTATTATATCCCGTGCATGTTCCTGCTCGTAGTGAAATTTATTCACCACATTTTTTCAGTCAAACAAATTGTATTTCGGAAGCAAATTACCCAAACACATCTTTAGATTGATTTTTAATAGCATACTGGCTTCAACCAAAATACCATTGTGAGTTTTTTTTTTTTTTTTTTGGGGGGGGTGTTGTGGTTGTTCTCTCTACACACCCAAGTATCATCTTAGCATGCAAAAAGATAGCTTTAAAGTCAACATCCAAGGATACATATTTGTGTCATAAGTAAAGAATTAAATGTAGTTTATACCCCTCATTATTTTAAATTTAAAATTAAAAAAGACACAGGAGGCTCACAAGTACAAGTAAAGGCATACCGTACAACCCAAACGTGTAGGACAGCCCTCAATGAACATTAAAGTCTTGACAGGCCTCTTTCCACCTTCAACAAAACCAGCATGTTCCTCCACAAACTTCTCAAAATAAATTGAGTCACAGTGCTTCAGCTTTTTACCATTCAAATTCTCACATGATAGAATTGGTGAACCAGTACAACGTGCAACTCTTTCAAGGCGATGAAGCTTCATATCAAGTACTAGTGTCATTCCTTTCTTCAGAATTGATTCTTGTATATCACGAGAAACAGTTTTCTCTACTAAAATAACATTTGGGCGGCACATTTCTATAAGCTCGACTATAGATTTTTGATAGCCTTTCTCCTGTTAACAAGCAAATGATTAGAGACAGAATACACCAAGGACAGAAACCAAATCAATTTAATTACCTGTTCCATAGAGTCAAATGAGGACAAGCCACTACAAGAATGGCCAAGCATCCCACTGATCAGCAACAACCTTGGATTTTTGTACTTAGTTGGCATGTGCTTGTGTGCAGCATGCTTTTTGAAGACCAAACCTTTGATAATTTGACTGCAATACCAAATATAATAAGTATACTGGACTAATGTCTAGGTCAAAAAACAAGATTGTACATCTCAAACATAAAATTGAATGAGTTTATCAGTTGAAATCCTAGATAAAGCATTTCAGGGACAAAGGAAGTTTCTTAGAAGGATAATACTACAGGAAAAGAAAAATCAGCAGAGCTCAAGGATATCTTACTTCATGTGCAACATTTTGGGAGAAAATTACATCAACAACAACATAAAAGATAGGACAAAAGAAAAGAAATTTCTTTCTGAATAATCAATAACCTCATAATACAAATATAATGGAATACAACTGGCCAAAGAAAATCACATAATACAATATGAATGCAGCATTTTGAAAACTTCTACATAGCTGGACAAAAGCCAATATATATTTAAAAAGGAAAAAAACCCATTAATAGGTAAAATACTAAGTCACAAATAATTGTCTAAGATTTCAGTTGAGATATTAACAAAGCACCTCGAAATAAATTCTTCCAGTCAAACCATTCTTACCTTTGGCTGCAAGAACCAGCTGCAATACATTTTACTTTAACATACCCATCAGGATTCATTGATTTAGCTCCAATAGCATCAGGCTTCAAAAACGAAGCAGCTTCCCAAGATAAACAAGTGACTAATTCCACCCAATTCTTACCACCATCATTGGAAGAGGAGACGCCAACAGATTTAAGAAGCTGACCTACAAGCGCCTTAAATCTCCCATTTATCACTTCTTGCATTGCCCTTAGCTTTTCCTCCTTGAACTTGTAAGACCCACTCAATTCATCTTTAGAGCAACTCAAAGAAGTTGGCTCACCCCAGTTCACACTATCAGTGCACTCATCATCATCATCATTACAGCCAACACTATGGTCTACATCATCTTGCGGGTTTTCTGGATTAGGAGGTTCCCAAGTTTGGATATCGAAATCTTCAGGAACAGAATATTCATGTTCATCATCAACAGATGAAGCAGGGTTATCAGAACTATCCACATTTGCTTCATGATAGTTATTTCCTTGAGAAATCTCCACATCTCTCACAGTGTCCCCTTCATGGTGACCATTGCCTTTTGAGGAATTGTTTTCCATGACATTAAGTGATTTTTCACTCAATCCTTCTGAATACTTTAAGCTCGAGTTTCGCCCTTTGTCATTCAATTTATAGTCATGATCTTCCCTACTAACATCAACTGTGCCTTCTTCTCGACTTATCCTAACAAAAACATATTACATAAGAACCTGAACAAACCCAAGATAAGAATTATAGTCACAGCTCTCTGTTGACACAAGTACCTGTCGGATGAATTCACATCAACTGACAAATCACCTGAAAGATCAAATAAGGAAGGACTTAGATTCACATTAATAACTTTACAATATTGGATAAATAATGTCAAATCAAAAAGAAATTTGACAAAGAAACAGTAATTTACTGCAGATGGAAGCACAGCTATCAGTGCTAGACAATGAAGTAGCGGGACTAATCAGTGGGGTCATACAAGGACTTGCACTGTCCCATTTCACATTTTCTTGCTTTTGTTTCTCCCCACAAAATTTACAAGTCCCAATGGGAACTTTGCTAGCCAACTTGAAGTTGCTCTCATTGCCTTGACTCTTATCATCAATTTTTGAGTCCATCAGGCCTGCACCACAATAACGGCACATACAACACATCCGGTCCAAAACTGATGCAGAAAAGGCAAACTGAAAACAGGCCTGATCCAATCCCTATACAAGTTGAAGAAAAAGGTGTCAATATAGAACAAAGGTTGAACCAATTTCATAATCAAGACCACCTTGAATGAACCAAAGTTTCCTAACTAAACAATTAAGTTTTGAACTTAAAAGAAAAAAAAAAAACTTTCAATTAAATTTGTAGATGCATAAAGTTTAAATTTGGTTTCTTCCCTTCCCTGATAAAGAAATACCTAGTGAACAATAAAATTCCAATTAAAATAGTCATATCTATGTGTAGAAGTATTGTATCTAGAGATGAAATTCATTGTCTTAATGACTACTTGACGTCAAAATCCACTTAAAAAGAAAAAGACTAAATGAAAAATAACGCAAATTTGTGAAGCAATAAAACGTCCAAGAATGATCTTTTGAGGCCTTACCTGTTCCTTACATGAAAATATAATGAGATTTTAGAAATTCCATAAGATAACCATTTCTCTTCTGTGGAGAACATTTTCCTTAAGAGAGGGGGAAAAAGAAAAACATCTTTACATCAACTTCTGCTGCTTGATTATATCAAATGAAATAAATATTACTTCACGGCATAAGATCATATTCCACCTCTGAGGAGGGCTTTATCACAGGTGAGACTATGCTCAATAACTGCTCCAAAAGCAGAAAATCATTTGTTTTATTTTATTGATTGATGCATCATACAAAAGAACACGCATAACTATTTTGCAATGCATCATTTTCCAAAAATCAAACAAGCCCGAAGGAAACAAAGATCAGTTATCACCTCTGAGAGAGAGAGAGAGAGAGAGAGAGAGTTTTTTTTTTTTTTTTGGGTGAGGGGGGGAGTATTGCTAGTATAGCAGTAGAATTAAAAAAAAAATTATCATCCATTAAAATGCCAACATGGCACAACAAACTCCAGAAATTCAATCGAATGAGAGATATCTGATCAAAAGTTACGGTCCAAACAGTAGAGACATAAAAATGAAATAAATAATGAAAAGTTACAGACTCAAATTGCAAAATGTCCAAACCAAAATAAGGAAGTTAATTCTAGATCCACATTTTATTTCCAGCAACACGAAACCCAAAATAAAACCAAAAAGAAAGGACATCATTGCTGGAACCAGATAAATGATGAAACAATATAAAATATAAAAAGAAAAATAAAAACGAGAACCCACTAGCAATCTTTGAAATCGCAAGCATCGGATGTGCTCCACAACACTAGGAAAAAGAAAATAAGTACATAGGCACCTGAAGAAGAACTTCACAAGAAATTTAAAAAAGAAAAACAAGAAACCGAACTTTTTCTCACCCAAAACTGATCTACAAAAATTAGATGAAATCGTCAATCACTCTTCAATTGCCAGGATAGCAATCAATCAGAACCTTGAATACGTTCCCATAACAGACCAAGATTCAGGAAAGAAACTGTCATTCACAACTCTACTCAAGGCAAAGATAAGAACCCGTGATTGAAACAATAAAAACAAAGACAAAAACACAAAAAGGCACAGCTTACCGTCAAAGTAATCCCAAGGAGGAAAATTATGATATGACCACCAAATCAGTCCTAGTTTCCAAGCATTCAGGGAAGCCTCTCGAACACACGATTCGCACTTTTCTTGATAAGCAAAGAATTTGGTATCAGTACACTGTGTGTGAGATTCAGATAAACCAACCCACATAGGCAAAGAGAGAAGAAGAAAAAAGAAAATAGTTGCGATTATTTCTTAGAAGAAAGAGAAGCGGGTTGAAGAAGAAACACGAAAAAATGGAGAATGGAGGCCGACCGAAAAAGAAAAGAAAAGAACATAAGTAAAGAACTGTGAGAAGAAAAGAAAATTTACACAGTGGGGTCCACTCCAATTGCCTGTTTGCCCGCAAGAGTTTCGAGATTTTTTAAGATACCCGAAAGAAAAGTGTATTCGCAGTGTCGCTTCCACCGTATACACTGAAGTATACGCTAGATTCTTGGGTTAATCTTTGTCCGAATACTTGAAAGCAGTACACGTTATTTATATACCTTATTTTGCACTCAAGCCCTCGTACTTTTATATATTTCAAAATTGCCATACACTATGAATCCGCGTACCATCAAGACGTTATTATTAATTAGTGTATTCCCCATTATTGAAGGCACCATTCAAATGAAAATACATTTTGCAAAAACAATTCAGATGATCGTACACTTAATCAGAATTAAATTTTAAAAATTTAATAAATAAAAATAAAGGTAGGATATTATAATAGGTAGGTCCTAGGGGAACAATATAAAGGGGATAAGGTTTTGAAATTCAAAAAGGAAACTACTAATATCAAAAGCACCTAGTAGGATATAAATTTTTAGATTTAATTTGGAGAATATATTAAGAAACATTCTCAAATTCGGCATTTTAGAGCACATGCATGATATCAACATATTCAAATAAATTAAATACTATTGTGTTTGGGTAACACATTAAAAGTTCTTTGCCCTAATTGAATTTGGAGAAAGTATATTTCTTTTATTAGTTAAGCGTGACTTTGAGGATCCGAAGTATACACTAATTAATAGTTTATAAGTTTAATAAGTTTAATATTTTATATGGACAAAAATGATGATACAAACTAGATTAATTATGAATTAATTGCAAATGTAATGTGGAACAAATAGGGTATCATATAAATTATTAGATTTAATTTGACAAAAATGAATAATAAAACATTTTCAAAATCACGCCAAATGTAAGAGTACATGCATGATATTAAATAAATAAGATTGATAGTATATTTAAGTAACACATTAAAAGTTTTTGTTTTCAAACTAGATTTGGAAAAAGTATGTTTTTTATTCATTAGTTTAAGTGCGAGTTTGAGTGTCCAAAATATACATTAGTTTGTAGTTAAGTGTGAAAATATTCAGGGCTAAGCCACTATATTAGAGTGTAAGATGACAACTCGGGTTTAAAAAGGCCTTTTAAATTCAAAAATAAAAAAAGCCAACCCTTTTAAGCACTTTCATATATATATTTTTAAAATTTTTGACATTAAAAAAATTAAATACTACATTAATGCTAAAACCTTAACTTCATTTCACAAGGATGAGGAAGGAAGGCATGAAAAGCTTAATATATTTGCTACTGATGAGGCTCCACAAAGAGAATGATAAAATTATATTAATGTTAGTGATAATGAAAATCATTAAGATTTAGCTGATAATAATAGTAAAGTATGATTGTTATCAGTGTTAATTTTGTAACGTTATTTTTTATTAAACTTAAATTTTTTATTGTGTATATAAACTTAGAGTTGTTTTTCCAAACTTAATGTCATGTGTAATAATTTTTTTAAAATTTTAAACATATATTTTTATATTTTTAAATTAAAAAATAAAAAATATATATGGCCAAAGCCTTGATGTCCAGGGCCGAATAAATCAAAATAAAGCCCTAAAATATAATTTAACTTAATTAATAGGGCTATTTTGCTTAAACCCTAACCCTTAATTGATAGCTCTACTAGCTTGTAGGCCAATATTCTATATGGGCATAAAAGACAATGCAATATATGCAACTTTAGCAACTAGATTTCATCATTAATTAATGTTAAAAATGTATAGTAATGTGGGGTCAAATAAAATATCAAATAATTTTTTTTAATTTAGAAAAAAACGATTAAGAAAATGTCGTCAAAAAACGGCATTTTAGAGTGCAAGCATGATACTGATATATTGACATAAATAAAATAATGGTGTATTTTAGTCACACATTGAAAGTACTGATTTGGGGAAAATATGTTTTCTTCATCAACTTAGCGAGAGCTTGAGTGTCCGAAATACACATTAATTTATGAGCTTAGTATTTTATATGGACAAACATGATAATGCAATTAATTAGTAGCTAGATTTATTGTATTATTAATTAATATTAAAAACATATAATAAATATTAATAATGTAGAGTAAAACAAGGTCAACTAAGATATTTTAAGGAGCCATAGGTTCAAACCCCTCGTGTCACCCTTAACAATCAGTCACCAAAAAAAATTAGTGTATTGAGGGAACACATTGAAAGTTCTTTCCCTAAATTGGACTTGGAGAAAATATGTTTCTTTTATTAGTTAAGCGTGAGCTTGAAGATCCGAAATATACACCAATTAATTTGCAAGTTTAATATTTTATATAGATGATAATACAAATTATATTAATTATTAATTATTAATTAATTTTTAAAGAGTATTGTAATGTAGGTCAAATAGGTTACCATATAAATTTTTAGATTTAATTTAGCAAAATTGAATAATAAAACATTGTCAAAATTGACATTTAAGAGTACATGCATGATATTAACATAAATAAAATGATGTTGTATTTAAGTAATACATTAAACTTTTTTTTTAAAAAAATGGAGTTGAAGAAGTATGTTTTTTTCATTACCTAAGTGCAAGAGCAAGTGTCCAAAGTATACACTAGTTTGCGGCCTTAATATTTTATATGAGCATAAAAGATAATGCAATGGAACAACTTCAGCAACTAGATTTTATTGTTAATTAATATTAAAAATGTGTGGCAATGTGAGGTCGTATAAGGTATAATATAAATTTTTGGATTTAATTTAGAGAAAATGTTGTCAAAAACAACATTTTATAGTATAAGCATAATATTGATATATTGATCAAAATAAATAATAGTGTGTTTAGATAACACGTTGAAAGTACTTCCCCAAATAAGATTTGGGAAAAATATGTTTTCTTTATCAATAAGCCGTAAGGTTGAGTGTCCGAAATATGCATTAATTTGTAAGCTTAGTATTTTTATATGGACATAAATGATAATGCAATTAATTAATGACTCAAATTTAACAGCTAGATTTATTTTATTATTAATTAATATTAAAATGTATAGTAAAGTAGGGTCAAATATGATATTTTAAGGGGTTATAAACTTAAACCCTCCCTCACCACCCTCCCTCGCCACCTTTACCAACCAATTACGAAAAAAAAAAATAATAGCGTATTTAGGTAACACGTTGAAAGTACTTTTCCTGAATTGGATTTGGAGAAAAAAATGTTTCTTTTATTAGTTAAGTATGAGTTTGAATATCAAAAATATACAATAATTAATTTGCAAGTTTAATATTTTATATAAATGATAATACAAACTAGATTAATTATTAATTAATTTTTAAAGCGTATTGTAATATGGGTCAAATGGGGTACCATATAAATTTTTAGATTTAATTTAGCAAAATTGAATAATAAAACATAGTCAAAATTGACATTTAATAGTACTTGCATGATATTAACATAAATAAGATGATATTGTATTTAGTAATACATTAAAAGTTTTTTTTAAAAAAAAATTGGATTTGGGGAAAGTATATTTTCTTCGTTAGTGAAGTGCAAGTTTGAGTGTCCGAAATATACACTAGTTGGCGGGCTTAATATTTTACATGGGCATAAAAGATAATGCAATGGAACAACTCGAACAACTAGATTTTATTGTTAATTAGTATTGAAAATGTATAGCAATGTGAGGTCGTATAGGGTATCGTATAAATTTTTGGATTTAATTTAGAGAAAATGATTAAGAAAACACGTTGTCAAAAACAACATTTTAGAGTAAAAGCATGATATTAATATATTAATCAAAATAAATAATAGTGTGTTTAGATGACACATTGAAAGTACTTCCCCAAATGAGATTTGGAGAAAATATGTTTTCTTCATTAATAAGCCATAAGGTTGAGTGTCCGAAATATATACTAATTTGTGGGCTTAGTATTTTATATGGACATAAATGATAATGCAATTAATGGCTCAAATTTAGCAGCTAGATTTATTTTATTATTAATTAGTATTAAAAATGTACAGCAAAGTATGATTAAATAGGGTATTTTAAGGGTTATGGATTCAAATTCTGCATTGGCACGTATGAGTTGTATAATTGATCACTTAAAAAATAATCTAAAAAGCTGTTTTGATATGGACTTTCATTTAGTCTGTATTTTGAGAAAAAAAGTAGATTTGTTGGTCATAAGTCGTGATCGAAGAATTAATTATAATAATAGTAGTAATGATAGTGATGATAATAATAATAATAATAATAAATCATGAATCTTTGAAACGAATATTGGAGGATATTCTTTTTCACTTTCAATTACAATATATCAAAGTGTGAAATCGATTGAAGATGATTGATTCTTGTTGCAAGTTATACCTTTCAAAAATTCAAAATCTAATTACCTGCCCCCGAAATTAAGGAAAATTCGGTTCTATACAATGTCCAAATGAGAATAACAATACTTTTTTTTAGCAAGGAGAATAACAAATCAACAATACTGATTTTTACATTTTCAGAAGAGAAAGATATGAATTAATAATGATTGATTATTTTTCAAAAAGCTGGTTACCTTTAAAACTGTTTGTTTCTATTATAATTTTATAATTATATAATTAAACGTTTGTATTTTAAGAAAATTATTATTATCATTTTTAGATTTTGAAAACCATATTTTTCCTACATAACGTAAAACAAATATAGATTAAATGAACATCTTTGGAGGTGTGTTGTTATTATGTTATATCAGGTTTTATCTGAATGGTTTATATTGTTTTTTTTTAATTTTAAATTTATTATTATTTTTCATTTTTTTTGAAAAAAGTAAATTTTCATAATTCATGGTTAAAATATTGATCTTTTTTTTACATCTTACTTTGTAAAATAAAATTTCTTAAATTTAATTTCAATAATAATAAACTTTTAATTTTTTTTTGAAATGTATTTAAAGGACTCAAATAACACGTTCT